GCCTCGTTTGGTGGATCAGTTGTCACCGGCCATGGGGGGCAGGACAAACTGGTCGATGTTGCCGGAGCAGCAGGCCAGTTGAACTGCCCTTCGAAGAATTCAGCCCATCGTTCAAGACATCGAGAGATATTAGTGATTGGCATCCCATCATCCTCGTAGATTGTTTCACTCAGGGTATTAGGGAATGATGGTATATCAGTTGATGAGGTAATAAACTTTCATCGACTGAGATGGTTAGGCCACGTGTTACGTATGCCTGAACATCGATTACCACGACGCGCTATGCTGACTAGTGTTGGAAACGGTTGGAAGTTAGGGGCGACCAAACCAAAACGTGACATCAGTCCATAAAGTCACTAACTTCTAGTCTGAGCCATGTTGGTAGATGCAGACTACTTGGTTGGGGTCTGCGCGACTATCGTAACCAATGGTTGGAGACTCTGGATGATATGGCTCAGAATCGATCACAGTGGTGTATGTGTATATCATCTTTGTCTTCCTTTAAACCTTGAGAAGAGAGCGGTGAGACTAAAAGCAGCAAACCCAAGGTCCGAAGGCGAAGTCGTACTGCTGACTGTACAGAGGTGTGAAAGCAGTAAGGTGTTTCCTTCAGACAACCAGCATGACAGCGATGCTGCCTTCCCACAAGGAGGGGTGGGGTTAGAAAAGGTCGACCCTAAAAATGCACACCTCGCCTTATCCCACGGATATCCGTCTCCGGCGGTAAGGTTTTTTTTAAAGAACGGAGCTAACACAAAAACAACCCACAAAAAGGTCGTGTGTGACCGACCTCAAGCAGTTGTCCCTTGGGCACTGCGGTCACGCTCTCAGGTCATTAAGACCACTTCTAACCCAATTTCCTTTTCAGGTACCTCTAGAAGAATCCTTCCACGGTGTGGGCAACCGGGAAGTGATAACTGCCCTCATACCTCTAACAACACTCAAGACCACTGTATTCATAATCAATCTCCTTCTTCAATTCCTACTACCTTGACTTTCAACACTAAACTTCCTCTCTCGGTTTCCTCCTCAAGTGTCACCATGGCCAACGATTCTAGTGCGCGAAACGCTGTCCCAGGTCTACTAAAACCTCGCTCCAAACTACACATTGGAGCCTTCAACGTACGTACTTTAAGTCAAATCGGACAACAGGCCTCCTTAGCTAAAACCTTAGAGTCGCGTACCATTGATGTATGCTGTGTCTCCGAAACACGCATACAGGATCCTAGTGTGGTAATTCACTTGACCTCACCTCGCCAAAATGGACAGCCAACGAAATACACCCTCCGTGTATCTGGCGACCCGTTGGCTAGTTCTCGTGGACTTGCAGGTGTAGGTATAGCACTAAGTACAAGGGCAGAACAGGCACTATTAGAATGGATCCCCGTTAACAGTCGCCTGTGTGCTGCCCGGCTAAATGGCTCCGTAAGAACTCGGAAGGATAGGGACACACGTCGTTGCCTTTTCGTCGTTTCTGCCTACGCTCCCACTGACTGCAGCCATGATGAGGTGAAAGATGACTTTTACAGAAAGCTCTCTGAGCTTCTTCAGAAAGCTAAGCGCTCAGACATAGTAGTTGTAGCGGGTGACTTTAATGCCCAGGTAGGCAGCTTAAATCAAACAGAAAGACATCTAGGTGGGTGTTTTAGTATTCCGGCTCAACGAACCGATAATGGTGATCGTCTGTTGCAACTATGCTCAGACAATCGTTTATTTTTGGCAAGCACTAATTTTAAACATAAGGAGAGACATCGTCTAACATGGCGACCACCTGCACCAAACCAACGATGGACTCAAATAGACCATATTGTCATCAGTCATCGTTGGAGAGGCTCAATAGAAGATTGTCGCTCGTATTGGAATACTTGTTTAGACTCTGATCACGCTTTAATACGAGCACGCATTTGTCTGCGCCTCAATGGACGCAGGAAAAGTAAACTAAGAAGACCCGTTAGGATTGAACTGGAGGACGAGAAAGCCAAATGCGAATTCCAGAGACAACTGAGTTCACATCTAGGCAGTTCTGTAAACGAGACTGACCCAGATGCTGCTTGGAAAGACACACGAACAGCTGTGGAAACAGCAGTAACATCTATTAGTCATTTAAACCATAGGGCTCCAAAAAACCAGTGGATTTCTTCTAAGTCTATTTCACTGATGGTTTCGCGTAAACTCATCCCATCAGGCTCTGAACATGACGAAGAGCGTAAACAAATTAGATCTAGGTTAACTAAAAGTCTAAGGAACGATCGTGAGCAGTGGTGGGCAACGAAAGCAAAAGAGATGGAAAAGGCAGCGGCTATAGGCAACACCAGGCAACTATTCAGACTAATAAAAGAAACTGGAATTAAGAAGTCAAGTGTAAGTGAGACGATCTCGGAAAAAGATGGAACCCTTATCTGCTCTCTACCCAAACGTTTAGAACGATGGGCGGAACATTTTAAGGAGCAGTTTAGCTGGCCTTCAGCTACTGCACAACTACCCACTATTCCTAAAAAACCTGAATGGAACATTGAAGTAGGCCCCCCGACCCTACTTGAAGTTCAAAAGGCTATAGGTAATCTGAAACGAGGAAGAGCAGCTGGTCCTGATGGATTGGCTCCAGAGGTCTTTAAATATGGTGGTCCAATTTTAGCGATTAGGTTGACTAATATTCTGGCTAAAATCTGGGAGACGGATGTAATCCCATCCGACTGGTCACAATCACTGATTGTCCCAATATATAAAAAGGGGTCAAAATCATCCTGCGATAACCATAGAGGGATTAGTCTGACTAACATAGTATCTAAAATACTAGCCTCAATAATTATCAGGCGCCTAACTAAAACTCGTGAACTGCAAACACGAGAAAATCAGGCTGGCTTCAGACCTGGTCGTGGCTGTATCGACCACATATTCACCATTCGTCAAGTTTTAGAGCACAGACATGCTTATCGGCGTCCGACAATGATAGTTTTTCTTGACTTGAAAGCAGCATTTGACTCTGTAGACCGAGAGGTTCTGTGGCAGTGTCTGTCATTGAAAGGTGTACCTGAGAAGTACATAAACCTTGTGAAGGCTCTTTACTCGAACACTATCAGTCGAGTGAGAGCTTATGGCGAACTGTCATATGATTTTACAACCTCAAGTGGTGTCCGTCAAGGCTGTCCACTATCCCCCTTTTTGTTTAACTTCATTATAGACCTGTTGCTGCAAATGACACTATCGTCGACTGAGTTTACAGGAATTGATCTACCAGGGGAACCACTAAGCGACTTAGAATACGCAGATGACATAGTCTTGTTTGGTGAAGACGCTGACAAAATGCAGTCTTCTGTTAGAACTGAGTAATAATGCCAGGATGTTTGGGATGCGTTTCTCCCCATCCAAATGTAAATTGTTACTCCAGGACTGGCCTGCGTCAACACCTGAACTAAGGATATGGAGTGAAGTAGTCGAACGCGTCGACAACTTCACTTATCTTGGAAGTCTGATCAGCCCTAATGGGTTGGTGTCTGACGAAATCTCAGCACGGATTCAAAAAGCTCGTTTGGCTTTTGCCAACTCACGTCACCTATGGCGAAGACGAGATATCCGTCTATCAATTAAGGGACGAGTATACTGCGCAGCAGTTCGCTCTGTTCTACTTTACGGCTGTGAAACATGGCCATTAAGAGTAGAAGATACTCGTAGGTTACTAGTATTTGACCACAGATGCCTTAGAAATATTGCTCGCATCTGCTGGGATCACCGAGTAAGTAATAGTGAGGTTAGACGCAGGGTATTAGGTAACGATGGTAAATCAGTTGATGAGGTGATAAATCTTCATCGACTGAGATGGTTGGGCCATGTGTTACGTATGCCTGAACACCGATTACCACGACGCGCTATGATGACTAGTATTGGGAACGGTTGGAAGAGAGTTAGGGGCGGCCAAACCAAAACATGGCATCAGTGTTTGAAGTCACTAACTTCTAGCCTGAGCCATGTTGGCAGATGCAGACTACCTGGTTGGGGTCCGCGTGACTATCGTAATAAGTGGTTGGAGACTCTAGGTGACATGGCTCAGAATCGATCACAATGGCGTAGGTGTATACACTCTTTATCTTCCCTTAAACCTTGAGATTAAAATTGCTTCATATCTCTCTTCCTTCCTGTACTATATCCTTATATACAACCTTTCCTTATGTACTACCACCACTAAATTAATTACTTCTATGAATCCGGTGTTCATCTTGTTGTGCTAAAGAGGTATGGCAACTTGGACCGATGCATAAATGTGCCTGGTCCTACGTTGTAGCTGACTGACTGACTGAATGAGGTATGGCAACTTGGCTTGATGCATATATGTGCCTGGTCCTACGTTGTAGCTGACTGGCTGACTGATATCCGTTATCTTGCCGTATGTTATGGGATGCTCTTATACGGGCTTACTATACAGTGAACAATGGTCCTGGTGTCAAGATTTCCTATTCTTCCCTCCATCGAGCACTGACCATCTTAGAGGACGTTTTAAGAAAGTCCGAAAACCGAGATCAAATATTTGAATTTTTTCTGGCATGGAGTAGTGAATTACTGGAACTCTAGGAGAACTGACAATATCAGCACCTGTTAATGCATTCAGAGCGAGGTTGTATCTTAATATTACTGTGACTTCAGAGGGTTAACATAGGTCGACGAAATTCATATCCTTACTACTGAGGGCTGGTTGTGCCGGTTTAAGGGTCGTAATGGGTTTTCGCTTACCAGTCATCAGTTCGTGTTTTACTTTTCCACATCTTAATATAAAATGAGTGAATAAAAAATACAACTGGTGGCCCATTAGTTTTATGCTGCAATAGCTCTTTTGCTGAAGAATTCTGGTGCTTCTAGCTCTTCTATCATTTATCGAGTATTTTACAATATGGATGAATACTGATGACTGGACTTCAAGGCTTTGATTAGTAGTTAGACATTAATCAGACTGCGTATAACCTTTTTTGTTTTTAAAAAAAGTTTATTTACAGGATATATACTTTACAATGGCATTCACACGGAGGACATCTAGTAGGGCTTGCAAAGAAGTGGCTATGGCTCGCATTGTCGCCTGTTTAAACTCACCACAAGAACCTGAAATTAACCTTAAAAATAACGGGGTCTTGTCTTCAAAATCTGGTTCCTGTTTAAGACCTCGAAGAGCAACGTGTACTGGTACTTTGAAGTCTCCTGGTAATTTTTTTATCTCGTTTTATCGCTTTTAGTTAAAAAATTGTCAGAGCTATGTTTATCTTCACCTCAAAGGACCCCAAAGTCATTTTCAAATGCAAGTTGTTTGATTAAAAGTAAGTCATTTTTATGTTATGGTCGAAATAATATATGTAATGCATACTTGTCACAATTGTTGACAAGTGCTCAACGAAATAACATTAAACGAAAGACAATGAGATAATGGATTTCAAATCGAAGTACGATCACGATAGATTTAGTTCACCATATTATTTGTGTAAAAAAACAGCAACAGAGTCGTTTCTAGTGTCTATTTTTATCCCTTCCTGATAACATTTCTGCTGAGTTAAAGTCTCTATGACCCCTTCTAGGCTGTTGAATTGGGCTGCGTCCCTTAAGTTAGTGAGAATGAATGTGGAGCTACGGTGCCTAAATCAAGGTACTGGCTATAGGAAGTGAATTTAAGAGAACTCAATTACGATAACTCTGATCCCCTATTGTACGTGTACTCCAGAATATTAACAAAGAATGATGGATGAAGTTCGTTTTTTGAGGGCACAAAATTCGTTGATTTGTGGTGCAAATTTCGGTCACCAAACGCGGTGGGCGTATGCATGAACCAAATACTAAAAGTTCATAAAACTCTGTTCGATTAATATGTATTCAATCAGTCAGTCAGGTACAACGCAGGACCAGGCACATATATGCATCAGGCCAAGTTGCCATACCTCATTAGTACAACAAGGTGAACACCAAATTCATAGTAGTTAATTTATTGGTGGTAGTATGTAAAAGATAAGTTATATATAAGGATATATTATAGGAAGGAATTTATGAAGCAATTTTATTCTCAAGGTTTAAAGGAAGACAAAGATGATATACACATACACCACTGTGATCGATTCTGAGCCATATCATCCAGAGTCTCCAACCATTGGTTACGATAGTCGCGCAGACCCCAACCAAGTAGTCTGCATCTACCAACATGGCTCAGACTAGAAGTTAGTGACTTCAAACACTGATGCCATGTTTTGGTTTGGCCGCCCCTAACTCTCTTCCAACCGTTCCCAATACTAGTCATCATAGCGCGTCGTGGTAATCGGTGTTCAGGCATACGTAACACATGGCCCAACCATCTCAGTCGATGAAGATTTATCACCTCATCAACTGATTTACCATCGTTACCTAATACCCTGCGTCTAACCTCACTATTACTTACTCGGTGATCCCAGCAGATGCGAGCAATATTTCTAAGGCATCTGTGGTCAAATACTAGTAACCTACGAGTATCTTCTACTCTTAATGGCCATGTTTCACAGCCGTAAAGTAGAACAGAGCGAACTGCTGCGCAGTATACTCGTCCCTTAATTGATAGACGGATATCTTGTCTTCGCCATAGGTGACGTGAGTTGGCAAAAGCCAAACGAGCTTTTTGAATCAGTGCTGAGATTTCGTCAGACACCAACTCATTAGGGCTGATCAGACTCCCAAGATAAGTGAAGTTGTCGACGCGTTCGACTACTTCACTCCATATCCTTAGTTCAGGTGTTGATGCAGGCCAGTCCTGGAGTAACAATTTACATTTGGATGGGGAGAAACGCATTTCAAACACCCTGGCATTATTACTCAGTTCTAACAGAAGACTGCATTTTGTCAGCGTCTTCACCAAACAAGACTATGCCATCTGCGTATTCTAAGTCGATTGGTGGACCCCTTGGTAGGAGATCAATGCCCAAAAATTCAGTCGACGAGGACGTTATTTCCAGCAACAGGTCTATAATGAAGTTAAACAAAAGTGAAGATAATGGACAGCCTTGTTGGACACCACTTGGGGTTGCAAAATCAGATGACAGTTCACCACAATCTCTCGCTCAACTGGTAGTGTTCAAGTAAAGAGCCTTCGCAAGGTTTATGCACTTCTGAAGTACACTTTTCAATGACAGACATTGCCACAGAACTCGGTCTACAGAGTCAAATGTTTCTTTTAACTCAAGAAAAACTATCATTGTCGGACGCCGATAAGCGTGCCTGTGTTCTACGTCCTGGCGAATGGCGAATATGTGGTAGATGCAGCCACGACCAGGTCTGAAGCCAGCCCGATTTTCTCGTGTTTGAAGTTCAAGAGTCTCAGTTAGGCGTTCGGTAATTATTGAGGCTAGTATTGTGGATGCTATATTGGTCAAACTAATCCGTATATTATATGTGAAAATTATCTTTTAAACAATATCAGCGATTGAAATTTAAATAATTCCAACATTTCGTCCAGCACACTTGTCTGCATTTCAGGGTATATATATATATATATATATATATATATATATATATATATATATTTCGCAGGATGATTTCGACCCTATCCTATATATTGGGACAATCAGCGATTGAAACCAGTCAAATGTGATTACGTTCAACTCCCAGATTTTTGCTAAAAGATCAGTCAACCTGATTGCTAAAACTAGACCACCGTCCTTAAAGAAATTCGGAGCCAATCCATCTGGACCAGCTGCTCTTCCTCGTTTTAGATTAGTTGGAGGTTTTTTAATTTCAATTAGATTCGGGCAACCTACTTCAATGTTCCATTCAGGCTGTTTGGGAATGGTGGGTAGTTGTAGAGTAGCTGGAGGCCAGCTGAATCGCTCCTTAAAGTGTTCCCTCCGTCGGTCTGAACATCTGGACTGAAAGCAGATAAGCATAACTTTTTTCGGCGATTGCTTCACTTGCACTTGGCTTCTTAATTCCGGTTTCTTTTATCAACCTGTATAGCTGTCTTGTGTTACCTACAGTGGTTTACTTTCCAATACAATCACATCTTGATAATAAAGGAGGGCTTACTTCACAATAACTGAATGCACAAAGCCGTACATTGGGGCGGATTGAAGTGCGTCAAGGTTTGAAACTTATTTAATATCCCCTTCCCCTATACGGCTAGTCACAAAGGTAGGTATCTCAAAATATTCTATTTACAATAGTTTAGACAAGCGATTGGGTGTAGATATTAGCCCTTCATTCATGCCAAGATGATGAAGGGATTATGTTCAGTTACACAGTGATCGACGAATCACAATCTCTACCTACTACGCATTTATATTTTCATATTATATAAAGTATTAACTCAAGTCCAGTCACGTATTTTGCGCTGTTCACAGCGACATCTGCCTACTTACTATTTTACCGAATACATGTCATTTATAATACACAAAATATTCAGCTAACCTGTTTAAGAATTAGTATGAGATTTCTAGCAGTAGGTTTTACATTATGTATCTTTTCATTTATGTTTAAAGATCTTCATCATATTAAAAGACTAATATTTGAACGAAGAATATTCTTTTCGATAAATTCTATTCAGGTTCTACAATTATATATGCAAATTAATAATCCGAAAGATGGCCAGGTTAAGGGCAAAGTACATCGTTTAAAGTCTAAGCATGTGAATTTAGGACTCAAACAAAATATAATAAAATAATATGACTCATATAGAATGTTAATTTGAATCAGTTTATATGTTAAGTGAACATTTAAGATCCGTGATCAGAATATGGGTCAGATAGTGCGAGAGAAATAATAATTCAATTACACTTCGATCAAATGTTTAGTTGAAGACCATATTGTGTAAAAATTTATTAGTAAGACATAGTAAGGTGGGATGAATGAGAAGTAAATGAATCATATATTGGGGAAATTAGTAGTGATGTTTAACCAATAGTAATATTAATAATAATAGTAATAATAATAATGGCAACAATACAAAGTGAATGATTTCTTTGAAAAAAAGAATTTCTCTGAGTTCTCTTTGTTTTTATTCAATGACACAATGGGTTATTTGAATAATACAAAGGTTTGCGAATAAAGATATCAGAGACAATTACATTGGACTACGAAAGGTTGTAAGTACGATAGTCAAATTAGGTCATTCAATAACTATGACTACTACTGATTAATTGGCCTTGAGATTGGCCAGGGGAGAAGAAGCGGTTGAAGATATTTCTTTTGTACTTATGGCTCCGGTTTCTTAATCCGGATGGCTACTGCTTCAGCCGTTTGAAGGACTTTAAGTCTGAAAAGCTTTGGCAAAAAATTAATGACCTAATCAATAACTGAAAAAGATTGGTTTATACTTGCACTATGACCAGTTTGCACTAAATAGGCCAATATCGAACTGTTAACTTTCTTCACCAAATCTTTGCTTAACCACTCTGGGAGGTGTTTTGCGAGCACGAAAATGTGAATTCTTAGGAGTTCGACCAATATAACTTGCTTCATAGGAACAGTCGAACTGATAAATACAAAATGAGGTGATCATTCTAGGTAATTCATCTTTTAGCCTCAGTGTCACTTTTGGGCGCTTAGAAAAAAACTAATCGTAGTTCTCCGATGTTGAAAGATTTTTAGTTTGTTCTATGCAATCTCTGGGTTAATGTTTCGTTAGCCGCATCATCTCTGAATTGTGGGCGCATGAACAGGGAAATGTGTGCGCTGCCCTGTCCAGGTATTTTTTCTGTTTAAGTTCCCTTTTAATGATCCATCAGCTCTCAGTTAAGAGAACGTCCAAAAAGCTATTCTATTATCTCTCTTCTTCAGATGTAAACTCAATGGCTGGATGTACTTCATTAAATTGCTTAAGAACCTCTCGCTGTGATGTATTATCCTTACAGAGGATGAACGTATCATCCATATATCGACAGTAAAATGTGAATTTTTGAATAATCTTTTCGAGTGGACCATTTTCTAGTTTGGCTAGAAAATATCAGCTAATATAGGGCTCAATAATGAACTCATTGCAACACCATCCGTTTGTTTATATATCTCATCGTTGAACATGGCCATAGAATACCTTCATTACATGTATTCTCAGTAATTTTGTTCTTTGTGCTCTTTTGCAAAGCTAAGCTAACTTTTGTTCAACAAATTAATGGCATCCATGATAGTAAGAAACAAAGGATTAAGTTTTATTTAATACTTGTTAGGTGAGCAGATGGGGCTTAATACACGGATTTGATACAATTCTTATTATTAATTAACATGATTACCATTTGTTTCAGTTGAGACAGCACTCAGGTTTATGTTTGACGGGCAAAAACACTTAAATAGTTTGATTTCCTAATCCTGTTACATGGTAATAATAGTAATAGCAGTAGTAACAATAATAATAATTTCCGGAGTTTTCATCTTACTACCTAAACAAAAGGCAATGCTTGATTATACTTCCGTTCGCTGCAATTTCTGTAATTATATATTTAAATAATTTCAAATGTGTAGTTTATTAAATACATTGGACTTAAGGTAAATTGAAATTTTACAAATATTCCAATTGAAAGGTTCCTAGAATAGTAATAAAATTTGTCGGGTTATGGCTCATAATAGATCTCTCCTCTCTTATAAACCTTCAGCTCGTATTCTCAACAGGATTTATTTATACGTGTCGCTGATATAATTTAAGACGTGCATAACTTCTTACAAATATGTCACCTACTAGTCTACTGAAAGATGATTTATAATTATTCTGTTTAATTCTTAACATTATCATCTGACATCGAATAACTTTCTCTACTATTTTTATGTAGTGTTACGTAGTTTTCCATAGCAGTTATTTTCATTTGTCTGTATATTCGATTTTTTGTAGAACATTGATTTGTAGTGTGATACATAAGCAAATCAGTTAAGTATATCCAGTTTATTTAAATAAACCAGAGGTTTCCGTAAAGATCGGTTGAATACATAATTTGTAAGTATTTAGTTTGTCATTACTACGTTTACAAGTAATCGTATACGATTATTATTATCATTAGATCTGCACTCCTGTAGAGCTTTAACTGAAGGCTTCTTTGAGTCTAGTAAATTTTTTCAGATTTCATCTATCAGGAAAACGGTCACTCAACAATTGAACTGTCATGCTAATCTATGTTAAAAACTAAGCACCTAACCAATCGAATAAGTAAATTTCAAAGGTAAAAATATTTTAAACTAGTCAAATTAATTATTTCGATTTGGGGAAATTTGTCAGAATTTTAAAGTTTTCTTAGTTTAAATTACGAACCGGTCCTAGCTGAGTCATCATCAAAACCAAAAAAAGCACTGGACAGAGGTTTTTTTCCGGTACTGGACTTTTCGGCAACACTCATCTATGACTTCACCACAAGTGACCGAACTCAAAACCTTATGTCCCACGCGTGAATTCCTGACCTTTAGACTACTCAACTGCCATCCAGTGTTATAAATATCTAACTTAAGTCAATCTATCATAAAACAAGTAGATGTGAGCTTATTTTATGTATTATCGTCCTTTCACTACAAATAATTGATAGTAATTTAGTTAAGGTATCTTTGCATTTTCTGTCACTCATATCCTTACTCGATTTTCAATTAAACCATTTGAAAATTTGTCACTTATTTATATTCTCTCACTTTTATTAATATGCACCCCTTTGACGCGCGCTTTTGATTTGCTATACTTTGTTAGCTAATATACTTGTGGAATCATCCGGCTGTAATACTGAATAGCCCTTTTTCAAATGACTTTTGTGAATGTCCTCAGTTTTTAACCACATCCTTTTTAAAGGATACTAGCAAAACAAAAACCTCAGGGATGATCAGTAGTTGTAGTTTTGTAGAAATAGGAGTAAAATGGAAGCGTACTGAATTTAACTAGTTTATATATATATATATATATATATATATATATATATATATATATATAGTCATTGAATTTTGCATGTTTTCTGGTCCTGGATAGATGTAATAATAACTACTTTTTAAATTTCATTTTCCAGGAAGAGGAGATACCCTAAATACGAACTCTCAATGGTAGGTTATAAAAAGTTGTTTTTAAAAATGTTTTTATGGTATTGCGGTTTAGTATTTGTTGGTTTGGTCGTTCATATATATATATATATATATATATATATATCATATTTTATTAAATGTCATCTATGAATATAGCTAATCTTTTGTGTGGTGAAACTACAAGCTAGGTACTTGTTGTTCGTGTTTCCATGTTTTATTTTCTATTACAACTTCTGGAATTGGATTAGTTTAATTCAAACCGTATTTCGCAACCGTCTAGGATATATGAAATCGATTTTAGATTTTCACCCTATTACGAACTCATATTTTCGTAACATATAGCTGTCAATAGATTTGTGTAACATGTTTGTGGGCTTTTTGGGGAGCATAAAGAAACAAATATGTAATTTTGGTAGTATTAATAGTAGTCTAGTCAGTCACACCGAACTTCTGGAATGAAGATGAACAATGTGAATTCAACTCAGTTTGTTGTTCGGAGTTATGAATAAAATGAACAAGGTCTCGATTTCATTGGATATCGATACTGAACCTGGTCGTACGACTGTTGATAATTTTAAATCCCTCTGCCTCACCATTTATATGTATGGGATACCATTTTCGCATGTTTGTTATGAAGCATAATACTCAGTACTCAGTTTGCTACCATCATCTATCTTTTACAATTAAGTCATGAATTGAACAAACAGACATAGCCTAGTATGCTTATTTTATTCGGTGAGAAATTAGCAAACCAAAAAGTAAAGATAAGCAATACCTAAGTAAACTTCTTGGCATTCCGTTTTCTATAGACCTTTAATTATGCTATTATGTTAGTAAAATCCGAGGAGATAAACTATAGTGTAAAGTGTAAAGTTCAACTAAACTTCAAATTTCAGCCATATACGTTATTCCAAATTTATTGAATATTGCTTGCATCATACTTTTAATAATACAATCATCGTATACGTTGACATAGTTTTCTATAATCATCTCAACAAGTGTCACTCTGCGCGTTCGAATTCAAGTTCACTATCCCGGACACTTCAGAGAATATCTCGTTAGTGCACGTTATACTATTCTTAGGGATGATTATAGTCATATCACACGAGCACACCAAACGTTGACAGAGAACCAGTCTTTTGTGAACTGTTTGAACCTAATGTTTAAACATTTTGGATATGTGATCATTAAGATTGCAGCTGAAGGTCCTTGTCCTGAAGTATCTGACTTTATGTTATTGACTGGTAAGGAGCGGGGTCATAAACAATAAGGGTTGTCAATCGTTACCTAAGCATTCACTCCATATTTCCCAGTTGTGTATGGGGGAACTCATCTTAATAAATCCTATTTCCGCCATTCGTCGGAAGAAGTCATCACCTAATGTCATTAAAATTTAGGCAGACTAGCGTCATATTACATGTATCAAGGTTTGTATATATTTTAAACATTGGGATGTCGTAACGTTTTCTGATCTCGGAAATTAAGCATTATGTAAAGGCAAATTTTACTAACAAACTGATAACTTGTGAATTTATTTATGTTCATACATATTACTGAAGTATGGGGAAGCCTAACATTCAGAATTTAATTCAGTGAAGAGTCAGAGACCTATAAAATTGATGTTAACGTATCGTTCATGATATTTAATCGCATTATTTTCAGGCTAGTAATTCGCACCTAAGTGTGTTATTTCATTATAAGAGAAACCCATTCTTCTGGCTAGTGATCATGCGTCTTATACGAATTCATTCGAGAGTTTGAGTCAATAGTCCTGTCTCTTCGATAGTTTTTATTTTAGCACATTGCGTTATTGAATATCATTCATCTATCAACATTCTTTTCTTTCATTTCGAAAGTTGATTATTCACACATCAATTCATAAAACCTATTTCGTATCAATTATATTATTTAGTACTGGTGTTAAGCTCATTTGTTTTAATCAAAAAGACATGTTTTATTAATCATAATCAGTCCGATGGATAGCGAAGATTCATATGATGAAAGTTCTATCTCGACAAGTGAATCAAGTTTTTCGACATATAATTCATCAGACTCTTCCGACTTAACTGAACAACAATTTCAACACAGAAACAGATCGAAAGGTCCTATAATAAAGTCATTCCCTGTAAGGAGAACAAAGCTCAATTTATGTGTGAGTTAAATATCAACTGTTTATTAATTTTTGAGATAACTCTGTATATCTATTGGAATCGTATTCACAAGATTTATCTTGTGACTAAACACTAGGCTATAAGCTACACTTACATAATTGAAGAAACCAGAGCATGTGGGTCATGTTTGAATGGTTAACTTTATATGTTCAATCAGTTATCATCAACGTAGAGCCTAACAAAGATGTACATTAACTTAAGTTATCATACTACACTAGCACAATGGAATGAAAATAACAACTTAAATCGAGTTTGAAACAATGTGTTAGCAATGATAATGAGTACGACTAAACATTCGGAATATAGTTCGGAAAAGTAGAGCGGAAATGCATGTAAGAAGGACAACCGGAGTTGAAGATCAAGATAAATATACAGAGTTACTGCCCATACGCCGTTGTGAATAATTCTAAGTCTTAGGTGGAGTTCTGTCTTCTGAGGTGGTTGGTTCTGCCGTGGAGCTATCGTCGTTCTTCTGAACAACATCAGCACAAACTTCAGGTAGATGTCAAGTATTCTAATCTTTCCACATACGACTCAACTTGCCCTGTCGACCTCGATCTTGATTGATTGGTTACTCTTTAACCTGTCGTTGCATACCTCTTTATTTTGATTGTATCTCCCTTTGTTTTGATTCTTGGTCCATGATTTTTCTGACTGGCAGATAGATTGGATCGATTTTGATATGCTTGTTGATTATTGATTGACCTGAGTCCCGAGCTTGTAAAGATTCTCTGGTGCTTTTGGTGTTGCTACTATCCATGAACTTGACATTTTTTCAGTTGAATGTGTGTCCACAGTTATCCACATGCATTTATATAAGCGAATATATTTCACGGCGTTTGGCTGCTAATTGATGTCCTTGCAGATGAAACCTCCACCATTTCATAATTTTGAGTCATTTCACGGAGTTTCTAAACACTGACAACGGTTATCGTACTGGTTCAAACCAGTAATTCTACGTCTACCAACATTACTCAGAACAACAGTCAATGTCTTTCCGTCATATGAAAAATATATTGACAATGTTTAAACCATTGAGCTCATGCTTAGTGCTGAGTTCGTTGATGAAATCTCAAAACAATAATGGTATGAATTTCATCTTCACTCGTTAGAATAAAATGCATTTGATTATACTTAGTTGCGGGACAAGGTGGTTTTAATTAGGGCTTTTTTGAAACCTTTTCTTTGCTTATTCAAAAGTACTAAATTAATATATTTCTATTTCAAAACAGTTCTACTGATCATTACATTAGTTCGTGTTTTCGGTATTTCATGTACAGGATAATCCAAGTAGACAAGTTTTGCTGTAAAAAGATCAAGTTTAGAGAGCACTTCTTTAAAATCATCCATAAGATTAAACAGATATTTATTAATCAAGCACATTTAATTGTCAATTTTATTATAATTACGTTGATCACTTGCGTATTTCTTTGTGTGTGTTCATAAAGTATCCAGTATTCGTATAATAATAATTGGATACCTCTGAACGATCCACATTGTCTTTATTGTAGACCAACAAAAGCTCTATATTGGCTCATAGGAAGCGCACTCTCAGTCAAGTGTCCCGTGGTGAGTCTTTTCTTAATTTAAGGTAAGTCAAACCTTTGAATTTTTAAGTGTAGCTCATAGCTTTTCCGTTAAGTTGTTTATCCATACCGAATTTGTTAACTTGTTAATTCTAAGATTACTATAAATTTATCACGGTTGACTAATGACATTTCACATTTTATTATGCTGTTCTTGCAAACTAAGCAGTAAAGCAAATTATTTATGAAAATACTTATTTTATAATCATAGTTTCTACAATGATGCATTTTCTAATCAAAGACATATTCAATCAACATTTCATTCCCTTAATTTTTTATATAGTTCTACGAATTCGGAATATGGATGGTTACCTGGTCGTGAACAAGAATTTGAAAATATTTATACATTCATACTTAATAAACTATCTCAAAATTCTGGCGGGTATATTTTTTATAGTTTTATATCTTATGTATAATACTAATTTTCACTATCGTATCTATAACTCTTTCGGATAAAAATTTTCTTAGAAAATGAATTAAATAAAAATAGAAAGCGGTTTACTTCAGTGATATGAGCGTTTAAGTTATTAAAGATATCTGGTCAAGAGTTCAAACTCATTACGTTTCTATAAATAAGCGGAGAACACCCATATTATGCTGCTAATACTTCCAAAACTTCTGCTTGACATACTTTTATTTTTAACAGTAGTATAAACATAATAAATATCATTTCACTTTTCACGTCTTTGCACTTAACACAGGCCAATACATTCCCACTTCTATGCGGGCTACTGTTATATTTGTTTATCTGTGAATGTAATACTATTTGTATTATTCCCATACGTAAAGTGTGAGTGTTCTTTGTTAATAATTCTTTTCGAACTTTGTTGACATGTATATCATCTTTCTTTTTAATATAATTTCTTTACAGCTGTATGTATATATCTGGTATTCCGGGTACTGGTAAAACAGCATCAGTTCAAGCCGTGCTGTCTACGATGCATAAATTGGTTGCTGATTCAGGTTTGGAAAGCCAAATACCCACATTCCAAGTAATCTATGTTAATGGCATGCGTGTCAGTGATCCTAAACAGGTTTACGTGGAGATATATGAAGTAAGGTACATTGTGTTCTAACCATTAATATGGAGATGTTTTCTTTAACGTATTAACTTTTCCACCCATTGAAGCTCATTAAATGAGTTTATATGTCAATTATTGTACCTTAGTTGCTGAAGTTCGAAATTTTTGTGAAACTACAATCAAAATGTATAAACTGCTCGCAAGTGGCTATCAGGACTCAGTGGCCGAGTGGATAACGCGATGGCGTTTGAAGCGAGGGTACTGGGTTCGAGTCCCAGAGTGAACATCAACTCTGAAATGCAGGTACATCCAGCTGACGAGTCCCAAATAGGACGAAACGCGCCTCCTAGATTCCACTGCTAGCCACTATCCATCTCTGCTTACCAAAATAACTTATGTTTGTACTGATTAGGTGTATATTTATTTTCAGTATGGGGGTGTAGAGATTGTTGAATTCCATCGAAATCATGGACCGATCAATGTTATAACCTGGAAGCACTAGACAGCCTTTTTTGTTCTAGTATGGGGCTCCTCAGTAGTGCGCATCCACTACCCCACACGCGGGACTCAAACTTAGGACCTTTGGTCTCGTGCGAACATCTTATATCCAGACCACTGAGCTGTCGTACAACGGTGTTAATGTTTAGCTTCATCCAATTGACAATATTGCGCGACAATCTGTTTTCGGTGGGTCGATGCCTTACATCTAACACAGTTGAACTCCACTACAGGTCAAGCATTCGCGCGAGACTAAAGGTCCTAGGTTAGAGTCCCACAAGCATTTTTGTTGGTAAATTAAGAGAAAATAAGCATAAGCAATGATCTAATTTTATTGTTGACGCAGTAACTCAATAGTTAAGGCGTTCAAGTCTCAACCATCAAGTCCCAAATTTAAAATTTGCTGCTCCTGCCTCGGTTTATGTAACCGGGTAGTAAATATCGTTAGCCTTCACGTTTGGAGTATGGCGCACACACGGGTACCTGGCGAATAAATTAATTATACTTATGTATTATTTGACTTTTTCGTCGAGGTGGTAAGCGAAAGAAAATCGTTGTTAAGTGGTATTATTTAGTTACTGTACAGTCGTTCGAATTCGTTTACTGTAATGTTGTAATAAACGAAGATTTGGTTTAGTATAAGCCAGTCTATTGTATTATGCAAAGTCACACAGTGTATTTATAAATTATGTAAACGGTACATTAAATACATTATTTACTCATCTTCATTGAGTTGTCTCCTACAAACTTCATCGTTTTTTCGTTCCTGTTTCATTCTGATGGCTTTCTGTTTTCCTTTCTCTTCTCTCCATTTTCCTCTTTTGTCTGTAGGAAATATGTTTTCGATTCCTGATATACACTACTTATATCTGTCCGTACAAGTAGTATACATCACAATATGATGATACAAAACGTAAAGATTCATTTTAATAAGACTGTAAATAGGAATAAAATGGGCAAATCAATTACATCTCAACATAATCATGTACAGTTGTGTGAATCTTCCATTTTATTTGAAATAGAATGGTTTGCTTTCATTGTACTATATGTCTTTAGCACATCTGACTCTAGTACAGTTTGATTTCTCTGTTTCTTTTTTTTAGCAATTAACTGGTTTAACTGCAACTGCAAAATGTGCTTCTGACTTGTTAGAAAAAGAATTTTGTCATAATGTAATTAAAAAAGTACCTCATGATGAAATTTCTGAAAAGCCAGTTGTTTTAGTCATTGATGAATTGGATTTGTTATGTACTCGTCGACAAGACATACTTTACAGTCTTTTTGATTGGCCTACACGCCATAATAACCATCGTGTATTAATAGTATTGGCTATTGCCAATACTATGGATCTACCGGAACGTTTACTTCACCCACGAGTGGCCAGTCGTTTAGGCTTAACTAGACTTACTTTTGCACCTTATTCTCACGAACAACTTGCTCAAATTGTGCGACATCATTTATCGTCTTTATCAAATATGTTTCAGGTAAGTTTTTTGTTTTTGATAACTGTATTTTTAGAGCTCCCTTATATTTTCCTACATAAAACTATCTCTAACTCAGTCTTTTCGATATGCACTATATCCTTTCTAGTGTAAAGGTTGTCAGAAGTGATTCATTTCGAATATCTGTTTCAATACTGTAACTCGAGTTCATAAATATAACTAGTTAAGTAGATAGATAAATTTCAACCACCTAGATTTACTTTTTATTCATTTTATCCTCCAACTAAAAACCGAGTGCATTGATCACTAACCCAATACTCCCTCATTCATCATATTAACAATCATAGAACTTAGTTATTATTTATTTCAGTTATAACGTTTCCAATTGTTTTGTTAGACACGTCTCGTAGTCATTTGTGTTTGTTTATTCTATTTATTTTAAACACATAAACATTGGTACAAGGAGGAACCAAATATTTATGCGCTACACAAATCATTCGATTTATGTGAAGGCTGGAACACTGACCGGGTGCCCAAATCGAAACAGATGATTTTCTTAGGGGGCCCCACATCCCGAGCCTTTGACCTACATGTCTATTCCACAAGACAGTGGAGCAACGTTAGGAGATGCAGTCCCATGGTAGCCTGTGACCAACAACAGGTTCGTACGCCATTTGTTCCCTTAAGATTCTGGATCCCATCTGCACCATTGGTTTGAAATCAGGGTCTTGCAACTCCTCTAGGTGGATCCTCCATATTCACCAACTCGGTTAATGCGTCGAACATTCGCTTTTTGTCTTCTCGATTTCGTAAATAACAACCCCGCCGCGAGAAGGCAGTGTGTAAGTCTTCCCTTACAGTGGTCGTATGCACGTGGCCATATGAGAGCATTTGGAGAGGGTGAGAGCTGACTTTCCCCACTCTCGGCCGTACCAGGGCATTTGAGGGCTATAAATTTCCAGTAGGTCAGAAACCGATTGGCTACAACGCTAATACAAGCTGTACGGGAGTATGTGCAACCGAGTAACACAATGTACGCGGACGACTGGAGGGCATATAGTTTTGTCGTTCACATGAGATATTTTGTGGACCACATCACAGAAGTATACACCAACAATATAGAAGCAATTTGGTTGAGACTAAAAGAATTATTGTGACCTTATTACGGCTCCAGATGTCTGTTTTTGTGCAGTCACATAGATGAGTTGCTGTATCGTAAACATCACGATTTCAGAACTGTAGAGCCTCTTTCTAACCTGGAAAAGTTTTTTAATCATGTTAGGGAAGTTTATTCAGTCCAATTTTTCGGCTTTGTATAGTATATTCTTACTCCATACCAAGTGTTTTTTGATAGCCTGAGATTTCTAAGTCACTTGAGATTTGTTCAAAGGTCGTCCATTAATTAAGCAGAATTACTTTGATTTTTCACTTTGAGCTTCATTATACAGCTTGGTCCATTATTTAGGTGTTCCGCACTTTTTCAACCACTTGGTTTATTCCACTAATTACACGTGGGAAACAATCCTCATTGACTCACGCATTCTGTATAGTTTTCTCACACGTGAACTAAAAAACTGACTTTCATTCTCTGAATGGCTCTTTCTCGACCTCCTGAATTTCAGGTTAATCTCGAAAAGCTTTACTGCTTCGTCAACTCATTTACTCTAGTTGACTATCATTTGTTTTTCTTAGACTGAATCAGACTTGGACAAAGACCATATTTATCTGTTGGGAGACATGTATTTGAATAAGAAAAAGAGAATTCAGCGAAGAAAAGTTTCTTTTCGACGGAATCATTTACATAAGTTCTACATTCGTATATATAGTTATATGGAAAATGTATGTCTACGGGAGGCTAGGAAATATTGTATTATAAATTGATTCGAGAATAGATAACACATGGGGTTACGTACTAATCAAGGGGTAAGGAAGAAAATAATTTATGGACCAGATAATAATCTGATTTTCATAGTTGAAAGCGTGAGTCAATTGAAGCTAGACCACCATGGAAAACCTAAAAGCACTGGACGGACGTTTCGTCCTACTGTGGGACTCCTCAGCAGTGCGCATCCACGATCCCGCGCTCGCGAGATTCGAACCCAGGATTTACCAGTCTCGCGCCAGAGCACTTAACCGATTGACAGATGTGAAGAAAAGCGACAAACACAAAGGTCATAATAATAGACTGAATAATAACCAAGTAAAGTTGTAGAAGGTAATAATAATAACTGATTAGAGTTAAAAATACAAAACAGTAATTTAAAAAACAAAAGAAGAATCGATATCAATCAAATAAAGGTGCAGAAAAAAACAGCAACCAGAAACTTACCCGTTAAGGGAATTAGGGTCAAGGAAGGGTAGGAGGTTGGAAAAATCGTTTCTGCACGCAAAGTTCAGGCTTAAGTTCGTGTATTGCCAATGTCTCAGCAGTGCATAAAATATTAATTTGACCCCCTTCGATCCGGTTCCTTTGACTCTGTAGATTACTTTAAAAGAAGAGTCTTTTGGAGCGATGTGTCCACAGTTAATTAAATGCTCCTGTATCGAACTAGTAATTTTTTACATTCTCTTTTTAAGAGGCAAGCCGGAAAGTTTTCCGAGATACATTTGGAAAGTGATCGCTCTATGCGGCCTATGTAACGTTCCCCACATGAGCAAGTGAATTTATAGATACACATTGATGTGGCTCAAAGCGGAAGTTTATCCTTAACACACCCCAGAATGGTAGCTCGGCTAGAGAAAACAATTCGAAGCTTATCTGCGTAGAATGTTTTATTCAACGATTTTGAAATCCGTTTATTTAAGATTTCAGCAGCCGTATCTCCTTTAAATTCCATATTCATAAACAAAGTTTTTATCTCTACTGTCGAAGTTTTTTCATGACGAAGTCTAGGTGTTAAGTTGCTATCGATGAACCTAGGTGGATAACCATTTCTGATGAGGGTCTGTCGAAGATGAAATAGTTCTTCATCTATTGTGTCATTGGAACAGATTCGCTTGATTCTAGAGGATAAAGAGTGAATGCGTATATTGTTCATTCGAGGTAGGTTTTAAATATATATATATCTGTAAAAAACCATCAGGCATTCTTTTTAAACGGACATCAAGAAAATGAAATTCATGTTTTGCCTCTGCTTCTAAGGTAAATTGAATTGACGGGTGACAATTATTGAAAATATTCAAAATTTCATTGAGGTCCGTGTCTTCTTCACATATAATGAAAGTATCATCCATATATCTCTTATATAAATGAAATCTCTCAGTTATTGGTCGAAGTACCGAATTTCCTAGATTGGCCATAAAACAACCAGCGAAGAGAGGACTTGTAGTGCCGTGCTTCAATAATAGTTCACTTCGATAACCGTTATTATACCAATCTTAACGGTGTATAAAATCAGAAGGCAAAAGGAAGCGGCAACTACATTTTCATTGATGAATGATGCAGACCAGAAAGCTGTGGGCACATGAGCAAGTGTAAGCGAGCGAAGCAAAGATGATGCATAGTGGAGATGGCTGGGAAGCCAACCCATTTTAAGCAAGCGTCAATTAATATTTATAGTCAGGCAAATATGAATGACAGACATATGATGAATAGTATACGGAGGATACACATATACGCTCATTTAAAAAATATAGTCAAGGTTAATAAGCGAATAATGAACAAGATCAAAATATGACTCATAATGTATAGGTGAATTAGCTTGGCCAGAAGCTAGAATAAAGTATATGGGCTTAACATAACAACCGATACTACAGACTCAATGGCGAGCCCATTGCAACTCCATCTGTTTGTTTGTAGAAAACACCGTTAAATCTAAATTGAACGTTTAGTGTACATCTCAGAAGTAGTTTTGAAATACACATATCAAGATTATTGTGTTTACTAATCTCATTCTCCTGCATTTCTTTTCGCATTCGTATACATTTAGACTCTTATAATTCTTTTCTAAACCATTTTCTTTTATAGCCTAAAGCGCTTGAGTTGGCTGCACGTAAAGTGGCTGCTGTTTCTGGTGATGTACGACGCGCTCTTGATATCTGCAAAAGAGCTGCTGAAATTGTTTCATCTAGTGGGAAAGGCAACAAAGAAATAGATATTTCGCATATCAATGCCGCTTTAAAAGAGATGTTCACTACACCGAAATCAGAAGCTATATGTGCTTGTTCATTATATGAGAAATTGTTTCTTCGTGCTGTTGTAGCTGAATTTCAGGCGCGTTCAACAGAAGAAGCTCGATTAGACCGGTGTATCCGTCAAATGTTCGCACTTTGTCGACTTGAAGGTTAGTAAATTCCTTGTAACCACTTCTCATATCGCTAACATTAGTCAACACCTTTACATTAAATGAATAGTTACAGTCTTCTTTTACGCTAATTTTATTCACCAATTTTGTAAAATCTACCTTTTCCTTATTTGTCTATCAATCATAATTAGAATTTGGATTCGTCAATGAATTCTTTCTGCGGAAATTCCCATCGAAATCCCTCACCTTTCCATTACTATTCTAGTTCTAGTATAGGGGCTATATGTGAAATAACCACTTTTTGCGTTAGGATACAATTAGGTGCACCATTGATGTTAGTTTAAGCTTCTCGTATCATATAATTTATATTGGAAATTAACTACTGGCTTCTTTTGGTCATCAATGACAAATACAAGTTTATGCTGAGTAATATTGTCACTATAGGTGAATTGTTCACCAAGAGCATTATTAAATCAAGGACTTTCATTTATATCAAGCATTTTGGTCCTTTTCAGGTGTTCCATGTCCAACTACATCAGAAGTATTTGCTATTTGTGCTAGTCTTGGAGCTCACAAGCTATTGTTAACTGAAAGATCGCGATGCGATATTGCAATGCTTGTCCGTCTCAACTGTACAAAGTCGGATATATTATACTGTTTAAATCAACAATCTGACTTATAAATCTAACATATACTGGACAAATTACTCTGAACTTAGAAAAATGTTTTAATAGACGGTTATCCAATCATCTCTATGTCCGAGATTATATTGTATTTTTCATTTCAAAAATGATATACAGATGTACATGTACTCCAGTAAATTTGTCGGCATTTTACTTAATTGATTATAGTCCGTGTCTACAACTTTACTATGGATAAATACTAAGAATTTTTATTTGTTTTTTATGAATCAGTGCAGCTACTAAACTAGATTAGAACTATTTTAACGTATTTCTGTTATACCTATTAAATAAACGTTAATTAACTTTCCCATTTTTCGATGATCCCACACATTCCTAAATTCTTTTCTTAAATCTGTTCAAATCACTTTTTACTGATAAACGTTTTTAGTTGCAATATGTTATTGTCTTAGGCCAGCTTTAACCTAACGGAAATAACTATACATTTGAATCCATCCTTCCAGTGAATAGATGATCGTTTTCATGTTTCTTCTTAAAAATGGTTGTTCTGAGTCATTCTACAACCATTTCATAGATAAGCTGTCATCCAAAGAACCCTATCTCATTCAGATGTAATATTACAAACGTTAATTGAAAAATTTGAAAGTAAAATTCACTTTTGTACAATTGAGAACCACTTTTAATGTAATATGATAGTTGGTGTGTTACAAAAGGTACTACGTTGTCTCTAGGCTATTCACTATTCCATTGCCATTATAATCCGACTAGATACCACGAATGCAGATATTGTATTTATTAAAGCTAATTATATAATGTAAGGGTAAGCTTAGTGGCTCTCATCGACAATCATATATATAATACTCATTTGGACTCTCCGGTATCCTACTACACATTGTGTCTACATGTTTACCTCCAACTGTTGTGGCATATAGATAGAGCTAATCAAGTCTTCGAGTACGGATGGGAAGTGTACGTTCCATCACGGCTTACTGATACGTCTCGTAAGTTGAACGCTATATTCAGATCCTAAGCTATTTCGATAACCCCAGGCTAGAACTATTCAGCGACTTGAACACCAGAGAGAAGACACTAGTATGAAAGAAACACTTTACTGCAAGGTTCATTTATGTACAGAAAATACAGGGATTTTATAGTAATTAAGAGACCTTGAGTTTACATAGTAGCAGTGTGTTAATCAGCCAATCAGGATCTCGTTATTTTAGTAACATAACTTCACACATCTTCTAATTAATCGCTGATTGGTTGGGGCTCTTTATGAGCCTCTGGAGGCTCTGATAGAGTTCACTTCACCTGTGGGCCATCCTCACACCTCCCCCCTTTAAAGTCTGTTGTATAAGACCTTTTTCTCGGATCCACCTGGAATTGAATTACCGCGATTCTCTTGCGACTCATTACTCTCGAAGGTTGTGTCGCTTTGCCCTTGCGTATTTTATCTTTTCTACCTTCGCGCGCCTGAGTGCTTTTTGGAGACGAATCCATGAGCAAATGAAATGGGAGCCGGCTTTGTGGCATCAATGTTCTGCCATCCCTTCAAATTTGATTGATGTGTCTTATACAAATTCCGACATTTTTCGGATTAGATACAATACACTTCCGATTCAACGTTCTATAATATCTGGTTCCCACTATCTTTCACCTTGATACGATTTAACGAGTACCCTTTCACCTACCTTGAAGCTACGAGTGACCATATGATTTTCATTCGTGGGTTTACTTGTCTTTCTAGGTGGCAACATACTGCTAAAGACTGTTCGGATTTTCCTACCGAACAAATACTCGGCTGGTGACTTACCTTCGGGTACTGCCGGATTGGAGGTAACTCTGTAAGACATAAGGAACTTGCTGATTACTTGTTCTGGGATGGCCTCTCTTCCCCCTTTGACTAGAGCTCGTTTTATAGTATCCACGAATCTTTCTGCTTGGCCATTCGACTGAGGATGATACGGAGGAGACTGTAGATGTGATATGCCATTTTCAATGCAAAACCGTTTAAAGACAGATGACAAGAACTGGGTGCCGTTGTCAGTCACTAAGATCTCAGGAACCCCAAAACAAGCGAACAAACCTGTCAATTTTCTTATAGTACTCTCTGACGTCATTCTCGGCTTGTCGTATACTTCTGGCCATTTCGTTAAAGCGTCGACAACAACCAAGTAATTTCTGCATTGTATTGGGTCGACAAAATCAACGTGTATTCTTTGTCAGGGATCGTGTGGTTTTGGCCATGGTTGCGGTTCAGCTTTATTTGGGTTCTTTTCGGCCTCTAAACAGGACGAACAACTGTGGCACTTTTGCTTTATATCACGGTCCATTGATGACCAGTATGCGTAGCTTCGAGCTAACGACATCATTTTGCTTATCCTCGGGTGTCCGCTGTGTAACTGCTTTAGGACTTGGTTTCAAAGATTTCTTGGGATAACGATACGGTGGCCAAACATGATGCAGGAATCTACAACTGTCAATGAGTCTCGATGACGGAAAAATTGCAAGAGTTCTCCATGTAGTCTAGACGAAGGCCACTTGTTGAGTATGCAGCGGCTAACAAACTTCAACATGTCTTTCTCACTAGCTCGTTTAATAGCTTCGAATGTGACTGGAAGTCCGGACACCGCGTCTGCTAATACTGTGTGAACCTCGGCCTCAACAACCACGGCAGCCACAAGCACCTCCTCTTCTTGTTTTATACGGGAACTGATTAGTCTTGAAAGGGCATCTGCCTGTTCAAAATCCGTTGTTGTTTGGTACTTTATCTTGAAATCATAGCCCGGCAGTGTAGTTGCCCATCTCTGTAGACGGTTTGCTGTATATACAGGTATACCCTTATTCGATCCAAAAATTGTCAGCAACGGTTTATAGTCTGTTAGTAAGGTAAATTGTCTGCCAAATAGCATCTTGTGGAACTTCTTTACAGCGAATATAATAGAGAGGGCCTCTTTTTCTATCTGACTATAGTTTCTTTCTGTCATAGTCAGCGACCGTGCAGCGTGGGCGATTGCCTTCTCAGACCTGTCTGGGTAGGTATGTGAGATCACTGCGCCGATTCCGTAGTTGGACGCATCTGCTGCAACTGTAATAGGAAGATCTGGATCATAGTGTGTGAGTAGAAGGTTTGATGACAGATGTTTTAGTTTTACGAAAGTTTCTTGGCACTCAGATGACCAGAACCACTTGGTATATTTTTTCAGCAACCCATTAAGAGGAGCACGAAGGCGATGCAGTTCTGGAAGAAAAACTCCATAATGACTAACCATTCCCAAGAAAGAGCGTAAAGTTGGCACATCAGTTGGTGGAGGCATGGACTTGATAGCCTCGACGTTTTCAGGTTTTCTTCCGTTTTTATCAATTATGAATCCCAAATAGCGGACTTGTTCCATGTGGGAATCACATTTTTCAGCACGTAATGTGAACCCAAAATCTGCTATGCGTCTGAGAACCATATCTACCTTCTTCTTCAGGTCAGCATAGTCTGTACCCATGATTAATATGTGTTATGACTCGTAGGTTGAATGCTTTATTCGGATAACCCCAGGCTAGCACTACTCAGCGACTTGAAAGACCAGAGAGAAGACACGAGTATCAGAGAATCACTTTACTACAAGGTTCATTTATGTACAGAAAAACAGGGGTTTTATAGTAATTAAAAGACCTTGAGATTCCATAGTAGCAGTATGTTTAACAGCCAATCAGGACCTCATTATTTTAGTAGCATAGCTTCTAACTAATCGCTGATTGGTTGGGCTCTTTATGAGCCTCTCTGGAGGCTCTGATAGAGTTTATTGTAAGCCGACCTAACACCTCCCCTTTTTTTGAAGATTCGAAGATTAGATTTTGATTTTAAAAAAAATTATCTGTACGTTGAAATTCTCCAACAATATGTCCTCAAGATAGGCCGCAGTACCAGGAATTTCTTGTAGCATAGTATCCATAACTTGTCGAAAGATTGAAGGGTCAGTCTTCACTCCAAACGGAAGTCTATTATATCGAAACAACCCTTTATGAGTGTTTATTGTCAAGTAATGTTTGCACTCTTCCGCTACTGGAATCTGTAAATATGCTTCTGATAGGTCTAGTTTTGCAAAATACTTACCCCCGTTAAGTTTCGCAAATAAGTCTTCTGGTAATGGTAGAAGGTACTGATGAGCTTCAAGTGCGTCATTTAATGCAGTGGAATAGTCTGCACATAATCGAATACTTCCATTGGGCTTTTTAACAATTACTATTAAAGCTGCCCAATCAGAAATGTTCACTGGTTCTATAATTCCCCTTTTTTGCAGTCGTTCTAATTCTTGTTCAACAATTGTTAGCGCTGCGTAAGGTACGGGATTTTCAGGTCTGAACACTGGTCTTGCTCCCGGCTTTACGGTTAGTAGTGCTTTCACCTTTCTGCATTCCCCCAGTTCATCGGTGAACACTTGACTATGTTTCTGGAGGACCATGTTTCTCAGGTTTTGCTCAGTAGGTACATCCAATCTCACCCGACTACATATATAATTAATGGGCTGGTTAGCCAGCTGTAGCATTTCGATTAGGTCAAGACCAAGCAAATCTAGTCCTGGACTTCCTGTGAGATATACTTTCGCGTTCTTCTGCACAGTACCTTTTTTAACTGGGCAGCATATCTCTCCAACAATATTTAACTTTCCTCCAGACGCACTGTGTGCTGAGTTGTAGGGAGCACCAAGGGTTTGCCAATATGACTCCAAGTTTTCCGGCTGATAAGTGAAATATCTGAGGCAATATCAAGCTGCAGACGGGCACGGCATCCATTAATCTCTAAAGTCACATATTTTCTTCGATTATGTTCTGTTCTGGTATGTGCCACCATTATTCTATTAGTTGATGAAAAGTTTTACGTCTTCAGTAATGAACGACGGTGCATCTTCTTTTTGCAACATGTTTCTTTATGTCCTTTAAGCTGACATTTGATGCACCGGTAGTTTTTGTATGGGCAGAACCTATTGTGATACAGCTGTCCGCAAAGCCAACATGCGGATGGAGGCTTCTTAATGGTTGTGTTCCGCTTTTGCATATAGGAATATTCCCACTTACTGCCTGTACACAAGGAAGTCGACCATTATTTTCTACCATCGAGGTGTCATGTTTCAAGTTCACCAAACGCTGGCATTCAGTAGTCACCTCCTGTAGGGTCATGTTAGGGCAGTGTTCAAGTTTACTTAGGATTCTGGTCCGGATATCAGCATCAGGTGAACGCAGGCTGCGGATAAATACTAAGCATTTAAACTGGTCCTCAGACATGGACGACAATTTGAACCTCTCACATTCACGGTTCACAGTTCCTGCATGTTTCACCCAGTCATCTCCAGGTTCTTTCGTTAACTTTAAGCACTGATAACGGATATTAAATAGAGATGATTGTTCTCCGAAGATTTGGGACAGGGTTTTGACTGTTTCATCAAAACTAAAATCTCGTGGGTTCTTCGGGAGAATGAAGTTGCTGTAGCGTTCATGTTCCACAGTCCCAAGTTTCCTCAGAAGTATTCTGACTTCCGAAGCGTCATCCAGGTTGCGAAGATCAATATAGAACAAATCTTCGTACTTCTTAAACCACGACTCAAAAGTTATACCTGCTACACCGTCAAAATTAAATTCATGTATGGCATTAGTGACTGAATCAATATGTGATTCACTAGAAGCACGGTTTCTCTCGGATAGGCAGAATTTCTGCATCAGGGTTTCCATGATTCTAATTTGAGACTCTTCAAACCTCTTTTCTTGACGCACCATATAGGCTTCTAATTGCTCCAGAGAAATATTCATTGTCATTTTCCCGTCGCCACTGATACGTCTTGTAAGTTGAACGCTATATTCAGATCCTAAGCTATTTCGATAACCCCAGACTAGAACTATTCAGCGACTTGAACACCAGAGAGAAGACACTAGTATGAGAGAAACACTTTACTGCAAGGTTCATTTATGTACAGAAAACACAGGGCAATTAAGAGACCTTGAGTTTACATAGTAGCAGTGTGTTAATCAGCCAATCAGGATCTCGTTATTTTAGTAACATAACTTCACACAACTTCTAATTAATTGCTGATTGGTTGGGGCTCTTTATGAGCTTTTGTTAGAGTTCTCTAGGTATCCAGACTGCATTTGCCGACTTCACCTGTGGAACATTCTCACACTTACGAATCTGATCACGCACACAAAATGACCATATTGCTGATAAGTTAGGTCAGTCAGACTTGAGCCAAAAGATAACCGCACATCATTAACCAGGATTTGGCTCCATTGCTTAAGGAAAGATACCCCGTTGGTTGAAGAACTCTCTCTTTTCTAAAGGCGAAAGTGTGTGAACGGATGATTGTACATATATTTATGGTTTCGGTTTCAGCACTGATTCAAAAGGCTCGTTTGGCTTTTGCCAACTTACGTCACCTATGGCGAAGACGAGATATCCGTCTATCAATTAAAGGACGAGTATACTGCGCAGCAGTTCGCTGTGTTCTACTTTACGGCTGTGAAACATGGCCATTAAGAGTAGAAGATACTCGTGAGTTACTAGTATTTGACCACAGATGCCTTAGAAATATTGCTCTCATCTGCTGGGATAACCGGGTGAGTAATAGTGAGGTTAGACGCAGGGTATTAGGGAATGATGGCATATCAGTTGATAAGGTGATGAATCTTCATCGACTGAGATGGTTGGGCCATGTGTTACGTATGCCTGAACACCGATTACTACGATGCGCAATGCTGACTAGTATTGTAGACGGTTGAAAGAGAGTTAGGGGCGGCCAAATCAAAACGTGGCATCACTGTTTGAAGTCACTAACTTCTAGTCTGAACCATGTTGGCAGATGCAGACTACTTGGTTGGGGTCCGCGTGACTATCGTAACCAATGGTTGGAGACTCTAGGTGACATGGCTCAGAATCGATCACAATGGCGTAGGTGTATACACTCTTTTTCTTCCCTTAAACCTTAAGATTAAAACTGCTTCATAACGTTCTTCCTCCCTATACTATATCTTTCTATACAACCTATCTTTTATATACTACCACCACTAAATTAACTATTTCTATGAATCCGGGGTTCATCTTGATGTGCTAACGAGGTATAGCAACTTGGACCGATGCATATATGTGCCTGGTCCTACGTTGTAGCTGACTGATATATATATGCCCCCAAATGTCCTGGTATGGCCGAGAGTGGGGAGAGTCCGCTCTCCCTCTCGAAATACTCTCACATGGCCATGCGTAATATAACCTCTGCCAGGGAAGTCCTACTCACTGACTTCTCGTGGCGGGGTGTTATTTACGAAATTGAGAGGACGAAAAGCGAATGTCAGGCGCTTTAAACGGGTTGGTGGACACGGTGAGTCCACCTAGGGGAGTTGGAAAACCCTGATTCCAAACTAATGGTGCACATAGGCTCCAGTATCCTGAAGGGACGAATGGCGTATGAACCGATTGTTGGTCACCGGCTACCATTGGGAATGCATCTCCTCACGATGCCCCACTGCCCTGTGGATCAGACCTTTAGGTCGAAGGCTCGGGGTGTGGCCCCCTAAGAAAACCACCTGCTTCAGTTAAGGAACCTAAGCAGTATCACAGCCCTCATTTGATTTGTGCGGCGCATACGTATCTGGTGCTTCCTTGTACCAATATTTATGTGTATAAATAAAATTATATATATATATATATATATATATATATATATATATATTGAAGGGATTGAGTTGATAGATATTGATTTAGAGAACGATAAAAACAACTTTCGTTTCTGTAGACTCATCAAATGAAAATCATAATAAAGTCTGTTATTATTAATAATCAATAATAGAAATAAGTTGATGAGGTTGAGCAAGAATTATAGTTATTAAACACATTCATGTATTATAATCTGAAAACTCTTTATCATTATCAATGGGTAAACGAATGAATGGTTCATTGGTTTCCTTACGATGCATCACAACTACGATTGAACACAGTAAAATCGTAAACGAAACGCATATAATTGAAATAAATAAAATAAATCTTAAATCAGATATGATCCATTTCCATAAATATGACCAACTATTCCAATTCAAAAGGCGATTGGCAACATCAGGTTTCAGTATGTTTGAGATACGTTCTAGGCTGCCATTATTTGGATTTGGTTGAATATTCAATAGTGCACACATTAGTGGATAAACGTCTACGGCATGGACAGTAGGAACGCTCTCATTAATCTTGAAAGAAGGACCCCTTGCAATAAAGAATGGATACATTTCAGAGAAATCTGTTGGATAACCATGATCACCGGCTAATAAACATAGGGGAAAAATAAAACAAAATTTAAAATCAATAAAATTATTCTTGTTTACTACGCAGCAATATTGATAGCGTTAAACAAATGAAAATATCCGAATCAACTTACAGACATTGGCGTAAGGTTGTGAAGTGTTCTTTACAATTTTCCACCTTGGCTTAGCAATAAGTATCAATGGAGGCATACGAGAGTTGGTTATATTGAAATTCAGATAGGCGGGAACTTCATCTCTTCGATACACATCTAATTTTGGATGCGCACTTTTTAGGCGTTTGTAGACTTCTTCAAACTTTCCTAATTATAAGAAAATGATGGGTAAAAATATGTAATTGTTGCATTTTTACTTGTTATACTTATCAAATATATGTTATCGATTGATTACTGAGTACTTCTAAAACTACAGGTGTTTATAATTATAAAAAGGTAGACTTGTCAAGGTTTGGCATTAAAAACAATGGACTGAATATAACTATAATCATAAGAACATTCCTCACAAGATACAAATCGTAAAACGAACATCACACGTAAGTAATGTAGTAAACTGAAATTTCCCATCAGTACTTGTTCCTAACATGAAGTTATGTATAAATGGTAAGAGGAGGATTAGGAAAAGTTAAGACATATCAGGTTACCATAGTGATTGAAAGATAATTAGTGTACTTGATAATACATAATCGTAATTGACGATGAATGAGTGTGAAATCGGTGAGGTACATTTTACGCATTTATTTGTCACAGGTATGTAAGCAACTCAATATTTCAGTGAGACTCGAACACAACACTAATAGTTAGACACCAGGAAGCTATTAAGTAAGTTAGTTTACCATAACATACAATGTTCATTAGTAATCAAATTAGACTGAGTTTTCTGGGGTTAGATTTGTTAAGCTGGAAAAAATCAGCTGAAATCGAAGCCAGATAACAATCAGTTGGTTGATTAGAGAAAGTGCACTGCTAGTGAGGATGGAAACAAATTTCTTTCAGTTTGCAAATCATTCGTGTTTGAATCAGATCTAAGAATCTAAAGTGAGTCTAGTGCGAATCAGCAGTTCCTGAGTTTGATTCCACACGAACTGTCTGTAGTGTCGTTTGATTTATAAAACGGGATGAAACAGTAGCTGCATAAGTCTTTGTTTTTAATGCGTCTTGAGTTAATTTTGTACTGAAGAAAATCTGAGAAAGTAAAGTTTATTACAGTGAGTGAATGGAAGTTGTTTTTCTGACAATGAAGGATTCAATACTTACCAGGTGCAGGATAAAGAAATCCCATAGTTGATAATTGAGTATAATTGTACAAAGAATTATCAATATATTTGTCCAACGGAATAAGTCGAGTATTTGATGTTTCAGACATACCATGATCAGCAGTTAAAATAATATCTACTTTATCAGTAAGACCACGTTTTTTAATACCATCTAATAGATGACCAAGTGTTTCATCTAAGGTTTGAACAACTTTTGCAACATGTTTACTATTTGGACCGTATGAATGACCAGTTTCATCAGGTTCTTCAAAATAAGCTAGAATTAAATTTAAATGATATTTAGGATTTTTCAACCACCATAATATATCTCTGATTCGTTGATCATATGCATAACGGTGTTCATAGTCATTAAGTAAAGCATATTGTGAAACTCGTTGAAATGGTAAATCATCGCTAACAAACTGATCAGTTAAAGGCCATAAAATTGAACCAGCATAGCCACTATTTTGTTGTAATGTAACCCATATAGGTTCAGGCCAGTCAGTTAACCACGGAGCATGATTTAGACTTTCTTGATCATATATACTGAAAATCTTATTTGGCCATTTCTTATCCAATAGACTATTTCCAACAACTCCATGATTTTCTGGATACAAACCGGTAATTAATGTACGATGATTAGGTAGAGTAATTGTAGGATAAACATTGATCGATTTCGCAGCTCGTACACCTTCCGATATTAGACGATCGAAATTTGGTAATGCATTAGAGCCCAAATGATTTTTAGCCAATTCTATATAATCATGACGAAATCCATCCATACTAATTAGTAAAACAGTTTTGCCGTGATTAAAAAATTTTGATAAGGGTCCTTTTATATTCCATCGATATAAATTGATTTCTTGTGGTATCAAAATCACGAGAATAAGGGCACCGAATAACATCATTACAATGCCTGATATAATTAATGTGAAGTAAGTACAGTGAGTTCTACGTTTGTAACGACGAATACATTCGTGATTTATATGATAGTATGGAGGAGGTAAGTCACTATCATCCTGTATTATTTGTTCCGTTGACATATTTACTGTAATGAGATAAAATAAAAGAGGAAAATCACAATTCTAATATCTTTTATATTAAACAAACAAAATATTAGGAAGGGAACGATACATAACCTGGATTAACCTGTAAGAAAGTCTAACAGCTGGTACTTCTATTTAGCTGGAGAGAGGTCATAAATGGATTAGTAACCATCCAGTTAATTATGTTAATGGAAAGTGGTTCTTTTTATTCTACTTATGAATATTGGAAACGCAAACAAGTGAACAAAGTTTTTTCCACTTGCAGAATGCCTTGATTGCACTAAGTGTAGACGATTATTTTTAAATATATCATAGATTTGGTAGCTTCTTGATGCTTATATTGATAGAAGCTCCAGATATCAAAGATCTGTGAGAATGGAAGCAAATCAAGTTTAACAAGGCTTTCAGAACACACAATAAACATAAGATATGAAGTGATAATAGTACTGAAAAATGTAGACTGCCTATTCTGTTTATCAAGTATCGTAGTACTCTTCCAAAACACTAACGTCAACAGTCTATTCACCCACTAGCATTACAAGTTTTGTTGCTAGGTCCATGACCTCCCATCACAGTTCATAAGATAACTCCGATGAATTCGAGATTGAAGACAGTGACGAAAATGCATCCCGTTTATTTCTTGACAGTAATACTGTTCCTCAGTTATTTTATTTTTACTGTGTACATTCTCATATCTTTGTTTTTAATGATTCTGCTTAAATTAGTATAATGAATTGATTAAGTTTAGAAGTTCTAACCGGATAAATGAGTTACAATTGTTAGAAAACTAACTTACCCATTGGTTCATCTGCAGAATGGTAAATTCTGAATGATTGTACCTTAACTGAGTTATAGAATGAAATGAAGCAGTTGTACATATATTACTGACCTGTAATAGATATCTCTTAATGAAATGCAACTTAATTGAAACAACTGATAACACTGATTGAGGTGAATGTAATTTTTTATATCTGTTTACAACATATGATGAGTTTCTAGGAGATTTTACAAATATACCTTAATTTATTCTTTTCGTAATTATGATATATGAGACAGATAAATATTTAAAAAATCGCGTAGAATTACACTGTACTATAATCAACATACCATTAATGAGACTGTTTGTTTCTCATTCTTTAGTTAAAAGAAAATGCAACGGCGTATATACACAATGATAAGCCATTATAGTATGCAGCGATGAATGAATCGGTTGATAAATGCAAAAATGCTATTAAAACTTAATAGTATTTCATTTAGATTCACTAAACGTAGTCTTACAACGAAAGTATGTGTATTTCTATACACAGACTATTGATTTTAATTATTCATTGGGGTGATATAGATTCATCTTCGACTAAGAGTATTGTTTTACTGATTATGTTTGAAATGATACTGGGGGTGGGCAGGAGGAGGCAATAGACGGATTACATGCCATTTCTTGATTGCTTTCAACGCACACAGTATCAGCAATATTAAAACTAATGTAATATTTTTTTATTGAAAAAATGATCAATGTGGCAAGCGAACGAATACATATCAATGAAAACACTCAACAACCACATGATACATACAAACGCAAACAAGAAGATAAACAATTAACCACATAGGTAGTGTAGAGAGATCATTGATGTCACCTAAAGGTCGCAGTGATATAGATTCTCAATGAGTATTAAAAACAAATAATCAATTAAATATATTTTATTTGAGTCATGTAACAAAATACTATACGAGTAAAGAGAAAAAGCAGATCAATACAGTTTCAGGTCATTCCGTTCGTGTGAGCTAAAGACATTTTCATTGACTGTAGCCATGTAATTTAGACTTTGGCGATGGAGCACGCCGGAAGAATAAAGATGATCCTCTAACAAAAGCATCCTATAAAGTGAAGAAAAAGTTGATTTATTAAAGTCTTTGTTTTTGCATTACACTAAAGTACTTTTCATAAAATATGGTTGAAGTATAGTCCAGAGGAAAAGTCAGTCAGTCAGTCAGCTACAACGTAGGACCAGGCACATATATGCATCGGTCCAAGTTGCCATACCTCGTTAGCACATCAAGATGAACACTGGATTCATAGAAGTAATTAATTTAGTGGTGGTAGTAGTATATAAATTATAGGTTGTATATAAGAATACAGTATAGGAAGGAAGAGAGATATGAAGCAATTTTAATCTTAAGGTTTAAGGGAGGATAAAGAGTGTATACACCTACGCCATTGTGATCGATTCTGAGCCATGTCACCTAGAGTCTCCAACCATTGGTTACGATAGTCACGCGGACCCCAACCAAGTAGTCTGCATCTGCCAACATGGTTCAGACTAGAAGTTAGTGACTTCAAACACTGATGCCATGTTTTGGTTTGGCCGCCCCTAACTCCCTTCCAACAATCCCCAGTACTAGTCATCATAGCGCGTCGTAGTAATCGGTGTTCAGGCATACGTAACACATGGCCCAACCATCTCAGTCGATGAAGATTCATCACCTTATCAACTGATATACCATCATTCCCTAATACCCTGCGTCTAACCTCACTATTACTCACCCGGTTATCCCAGCAGATGAGAGCAATATTTCTAAGGCATCTGTGGTCAAATACTAGCAACTCACGAGTATCTTCTACTCTTAATGGCCATGTTTCACAGCCGTAAAGTAGAACACAGCGAACTGCTGCGCAGTATACTCGTCCTTTAATTGATAGACGGATATCTCGTCTTCGCCATAGGTGACGTAAGTTGGCAAAAGCCAAACGAGCTTTTCGAATCCGTGCTGAGATTTCGTCAGACACCAACCCATTAGGGCTGATCAGACTCCCAAGATAAGTGAAGTTGTCGACGCGTTCGACTACTTCACTCCATATCCTTAGTTCGGGTGTTGACGTAGGCCAGTCCTGGAGTAACAATTTACATTTGGATGGGGAGAAACGCATCCCAAACATCCTGGCATTATTACTGAGTTCCAACAGAAGACCGAATTTTGTCAGTGTCTTCACCAAACAGGACTATGTCATCTGCGTATTCTAAGTCAATTAGTGGACCTACTGGTAGGACATCAATTCCCGAAAATTCAGTCGACGAGAGTGTTATTTCCAGCAACAGGTCTATAATGAAGTTAAACAAAAATGGGGATAGTGGACAGCCTTGTCGGACACCACTTGAGGTTGTAAAATCATATGACAGTTCGCCATAAGCTCTCACTCGACTGGTAGTGTTCGAGTAAAGAGTCTTCACAAGGTTTATGTACTTCTCAGGTACACCTTTCAATGACAGACACTGCCACAGAACCGGAGGAGGAAAATGTATATAATTTATCGTTTCTCAAAAAATCAATTTAAAGATGTTAAGCAAATCGTTTGATGTTTTATTTGATCAAGTAAACAAATAGCCTAGTAATATATTATTTTAGAAATTATTTATCAAAGGTAATTAAAATGTATGTGCCCATGATCTACTTTACTATTAATATTATCAAACAAGACAACTTTCTTGTATTTATTAAAATAAATTACATGAATTGTAACCTAGTTTTGAAGGATGTAAGTTTAATCAATGAACAATGGGCTGACAAATCTTTATTACCAGCTACAGGTTCTCAAGAAGTAGCTTGCCATGGTGGTCAAGTGACGAAAGCTAAGTAACTAAGATGTTAGACTTTTAGTCACTCATTCCCCAATTCGAATCTCTTTCATTGATTTTGGTATGGGTAACTAGCTTGATATTATTATATATGTTTAAACACATAAACATTGGTACAAGGAGGAACCAAATATTTATGCGCTACACAAATCATTCGATTTATGTGAAGGCTGGAACACTGACCGGGTGCCCAAATCGAAACAGATGATTTTCTTAGGGGGCCCCACATCCCGAGCCTTTGACCTACATGTCTATTCCACAAGACAGTGGAGCAACGTTAGGAGATGCAGTCCCATGGTAGCCTGTGACCAACAACAGGTTCGTACGCCATTTGTTCCCTTAAGATTCTGGATCCCATCTGCACCATTGGTTTGAAATCAGGGTCTTGCAACTCCTCTAGGTGGATCCTCCATATTCACCAACTCGGTTAATGCGTCGAACATTCGCTTTTTGTCTTCTCGATTTCGTAAATAACAACCCCGCCGCGAGAAGGCAGTGTGTAAGTCTTCCCTTACAGTGGTCGTATGCACGTGGCCATATGAGAGCATTTGGAGAGGGTGAGAGCTGACTTTCCCCACTCTCGGCCGTACCAGGGCATTTGAGGGCGAGCAACCAGATATTATCATTAGCCCTGACAATTATAGTGTAACTCATACCCAAGTACCTGGTGAATGAGTTCATTAAAATCACTGGGTTAGTGAGTTAATAGTACACTTGAATCTATGTCTAACTTGGTTTAACGGAGATGTTATGAAAAAATGATATAGGATCGGATGGAGTTATTTACTACGGTATATTACACCCATTATGAGAGTAAATATTATTGTGATTACTGAAGTATTATTGAAACTGGTATTTTACACGGTATAGTAACTAGTAAAAGGTTTAAAATGATACACTTAACTGTGTTAGACAAAAGCTGAAGAAGGATACTCTCAGCGAATGAAGTGACTGGCAAAACCGTTATCAATGATGATTATATCAAGAATATTTATAAACGGTTTTATGAGGTTAGTCAGCTGAGAATGTCAAGTTTTATATGTACGTAGTTTTGTTAGAGATGATTAAATTGCTCAAAATATTCCATCATTCACGCTTTCTGTTTTTATTTTGTAAATTTATATTTCTGCTTCTGCCCTCCTAAATTTTATACATAAAGTACCGGTTATTTGTACTGGGGCTAAATACTTGTTTTCTCTACTGGTTGGTTGTTCTTATAATATCCTAGTTCATTGTCGTACTTTAAGAGCATTTTCTAAGTAATTAAATATAATTGCTACTCGCTTGCATCAATCTTCGAGTAAGATTTGTTGTTTGGATTAGGGGTGGCTAGGAAAGTGATAAAGAGTTGTTGGGCTGCAACCTATCGTGGTAGATTGTGAAGAGACATCTTTTCCCACATTAATTTCCCCGCATTTCTATGCGATCTTTTAAGCCAACAATACACAAATAACTCTTAATATGGACTCAGTTGATTAGTGCTGCCTTCGCTTTGACGTTTGGTCTGATACCGATCACTACTCTACAGGGTCCCTGAAATAAGCGCAGGTGGAATAGATTTTCAAAATTGAGATGAAAAGTAAATTATAGTACTTTTTAGAGTTTTGGATACAGGTCTCAGAAATACAACATACGTCAAAATTGTCTTTCCAAAGACGGCGAAATCTATTTGTTGTCTGATTCGCATGACGGTAAGAACGCAGAATTTTAGATGACACAAATGGTTTTAGAAAAACTAATAAATTCTGCATTCGCTGTTAAAACTTATAAATTAACAGTTACATGACTGCAGAGAATTTAAGCAGGATAGAATTTCGGGCAACAACGAATAAACTTAGTGTAGAAAGAGATATACACAAAATGGAATGGAAAATTTAGTCAGTACAAAACAAATTTTCTAATAACAAAGTAATCGTAAATATCGCTCGTAAGAATAGTGAGACGGAACAAACAGAACATTTTATCCATCAGTAGCCAACTTCATATTTGTATGTCGGCTAGGATACTGTCTGAAATCCCAAACCGAAGCAAGGGTTTGATTAAATGGACTATCCTGGGCGTTTGAGCGAAGGGTCCAATACATAACAGAGTAAAATGACGATATGTAGCCGATAACCGAAACAATTTTGTATGCCATTTTCCCCTCAGGATTCCCGATCTAGTGCACACCATTGGTGTATAATTACGGTTTCACAAATCTTCTAAGTTGACCCTTCGTATCCACCAACCAAGTTTAAGTGGAAGAAAAATGGTTAAATGCTGGGTATCTGATCTCGTTTCATCATTTTGAAAAATGAACGCAGACACACCAAATAAATGTCAATTGGACCACATATATCGCAGCTAATTGAAACTACTATGAAAAGACTGGTTGGTAAAATTTCGTAGACAATAAATTAACGCCAAATCGATACTAATGCTGTTTTCCAAAGTGACAACCAAAACTTCGCTTAGAGATTGCAATATCATTACAGGTCAAATATGTATGGCTAAACTAAAACTTGTTTAACTACTGGTTTGGACAACTAACGTCAGATTGAGGTATATTCGTTAAAAAAGGTTGCACGATATAAATACAGAGAGGCAAGAGACTTACAGATCGACTGAGATAGGAATAACATTGCCACCAATTGTTGAATACAGGTACAACGTTATTACTGTTAAACAAACAAAAAGTAAGATATATTAATATCACTTAACATGGTAAGTAACTTACATGATGGAGGGATAACATTAAGAGATTGTTCCCAATTTTTGTTCGACATTGCTATAATGAATACAGAAAATGTGACAACCTAAAGAAACTCATTACATCATTTGTGGAAAATAGAGGCTATTCTGCAAAGAAAATTTTCTTTTTGATGATATCATTTGCTTAGGCTATTCAAACATATTTAAAGTTAGTTTCCTACACATATTAATCCATAGTAAAATAGAAGACTGTTGAGTCAATTGACGAAACTAAAATGTGAAATATGTGACTTAAAATTCGTTTTACGAGTGTATATCCTGAAATCACATCTGTACTTTGTTCTAGTAGTGAGATAATATTTGTTAAAATACATTCTGAGTAAGAAGTTTTAATATGTTTTGAGAGTATAACAAATTAACACAAGTGGATGAACACAAATGAAGAGATAAACATTCTATAATAATATAAATCCGTTAATTTCTAAAATTTATGTTGGTCTGTAATGTCCTCAACAATAAGTTTCCTTTGTCACACTATCAATAAGAGAAGACTTAAATAATAGTGGAGTAAGAGGTATATAACCTTTGGTTTATAAATAATTGATCTTTGCTCAAAATAATATCAATTAAACAATCGCAACTTTTGGTAGTGAGGCAAGATGATTTCATTCTATCATGAAACCGTCAACGTTTCATGAACTTTTCTAAAATGATCACTATCTCCAACGGTATGTCGTCATCATGTTCATTGAGTAAAGAAAATATGAGTTACTAAAGTAATGCGTCATTGTAAAATAACAATATTTTTTTTGTAGAAAAATTATTTAACCCAAAGAAACACAATGAGAATAATTATGAAAGCCAAATTTGTTGATAGACTGGAATTTCAGGGTTACTTAGCTCAACTGTGAGATTCCTCTTATCTTTTATTTTTACTGATTACTCTTGGTACATTACCAAACTCTAGGATACATTAAAATAACTGACGAAAAATGAACCAACGATAATTATCTTAAGCGGCATATAAAACTAAATATCTATTCCTGATGTTATTCTCTAAATATCTTCCATACCTATCATAAATTACGTGGTTATACTTCTCTAACTTAATGTACTAAAATTATGTTATCCCGAAGTAAGTGGGAATAAATGAGTCTACGATACATACAAATGATTCAATTATTGAGTATCTTAAAATTCATGGGTTGAACCATTTGTTTAAAATGTGAGATAAAATAATAATATTGATTAAAGCAATAATTGGAAATCTATATAGCTGCGGTTCTATTCATATAGTATAAAGGGGTAAAGATTAAATTTAAATGGTAGCGATATTGTTTTTCCAATTAATGAGATATTAATAAAAATGGAACAAATTGATGTCTTCATATCAAAATGATTTAATTTTCAAAAGTAAAGTGTGGAAGCCAATTTTCGTAAGCTATGACTTTATTATTTTTCAAAGTTGAAATCATGAGTCAATTGAAGCTAGACCACCTGGAAAACCCTTATGATTATAATCATATGCTCACTAGTGACTGACTTTAAGATATATGTCCTGGAGTTCTAATGGGAAGCAGTTACCAGTGGAGTTCAACCAGGTCTGTTGTGAGATAACAACTCACTGAAGACAATTGGTCAATGGTCGCTCAAAATTCGTGGATCGGTTGAAGTTAGACATTAACACCGTTGGATGCCGGCTCAGTGGTCTGTGGGTTAAGGGCTCTGGCTCGAGACTGGTAGGTCCTGGGTTCGAATCTCGCGAGTGCGGGATCGTGGATGTGAACTGCTGAGGAGCCCCATAATAGGACGAAACGGCCGTCCAGTGCTTCCAGTTTTCCATGGTGGTCTAGCTTTAATTGACTAATGATTTAAACTTTGAAAAATACTGAAATCTCCACAAAACCCCTTCTGATTATTATTATTTATTGCATTTTTTAGTGTTGGTCTAGAAATCGAAAAACCAAATAATTATTTGTGACTACTTTTATGAAACTATTATCAGACGATAGAAATACTAGTAATCGAAAAATAGGCTCATACTACCTGTACAATTTAAGCGTTTGAACCAGGATAGTATTGATAAAAACAATCCCATACTGTTTGCGTTTTTAATGACTGATAGACTAATATAAAAAGATATACACAGAAAAAATCACAAACTACATATATAATATCCATGACCACTTACTCATAAGGAAACATAAGATTACGGTAACCAAAGAATATTGGAGTAAGCACTGTGAATACAGTTTTCTACTTGGTAGTTGGTAGAGTACCATGTTATAGCATTTAAGAATAAGAAAAATGCTTTGAAACTAACCCACAGATTATACAATCAAAAAACTTGAGGAAGTAATCGAGCCAGGGAGACATATCCAGTAATACAGAAGGAACTTAAATGTTATAGAAATAATAAACGAAACTATATGGTAAAAAGATCCTTATTCACAGACGAAAATCGACTGAAGGAACAGTGTTATATATATATATATATATATATATATATATATATATATCAGTAGAGGTTGGCGGGTAGACCAAAATATCAATCATGACTAAAGATCACAACAGTTTCACATATAAAAACACACCACAAACACGCATATATATACCACGGATTATGTGTTCTAAAATATGACGTACGTCGAGTCACAAGCAGCCATAACTGTGGAGGTGACTGTGAGTCCATGAGTGGCGCCGCTTATCATCAACTGAAACCAAAAATTAGAAACGCATACATGAAAAGCAACTAGAAAAGAGTTGAGTGACTATAAATGTCAACTTATTGTAAGTGTTGTATAAAATCAAGTGCATTCTACAAAATACGCCAATTCCTCATCTTGTAATCAAGTAAAAGCATTGCTTACTCATTGAAATGATACTCATTTTTCATGTTGAGTAATTCGGCCTATGTGCTTCTGTATTCACTAACGCTACACCTACGAAACCGATCTTCAAAGTTTTAGATGTAGTGGAAAATTAGTACTGAACTAACCCTGTTTCTGTTATAAGGCGATTGGTTTAAACACGACTTAACCATTATCACCCGACGGAAGAATTTATTTTGTCAGCTGTTGTCAGTCAGCCAGTATGTGAAGTTACAATTTGACATATAAATGTAAATTTTTTTAAGAGCGGTAATTACATTTACACCCACTGTATTTTATAAAAATAACGCTACGCTTATATGCAAAGAAAAACAGTCAAACACAAAGTCGAACCTAGTACATGAGCACATTGGTTCAGGTTGTCATACTCCACTAGCAGTGAAAGATGAAGGTGTTAGGGCGAATGGCAGATCAGTGAATATAGTAACAGTTACCAAGGTAATAGAGAAGATCAGGCATCCTGAGAATAATTCTATGGGAGAGTATAAGTTGGCGAAATGACTCAAAGAAAATTTATCGGGAATTTTTTTAACGAATACTGAGGGAGGAACTTCAATAAAGTTTTTAATTTGCGGAACTAATAAATGCAACTTTCTACGTGCCGAATCATAAAATGATTCAGAAATAAAATCATATGATGATGCTTTAGACAATAAATCAGAGAACCAAATCTCGACAAGCAGAAAAAGATCCGAATTTATGATCTAGTAGTTAAAGCTGTATGTCCAAACAAAGTCTATGGTTTTACTGTATTATCGACTAACTGATGAAGAAGAAAGTTAACTCATTCACTAGGTGCTAGGGTATAAGGGATTACGTATGAGGGGTGGTTACACTACTTGGGTACGTAAACCGAAGTAGTTGAAGCGAAGTTCGAACTTTGGACTTCGTAGTTAGGACCAATCATACTCAAAATAGGATCTAATATATGTGCATTTGTTTAGACTAATGCACCAAATCGAGAGAGCGAGATGTCAGAGTGATACATATAGTGGCAGTATTAGTGGTGGTAGAAAAGATTAAAAATATATCACATGATTTGGGAAAAAATGGATTCGTGGAATAAACTTCTTTTCAAGATTATTCGGGAACTTAGTCTAAGGGAAGAGACAAAAAGTGAATTCACCTGAGTTACTCCGAAAGATTCCGAGACGTTAACGAACATTTTTAACCATTGGCTAACATCGTGCAGACCCCAACCACGTAGTTTAAACTTGGTTACAGGGTTCAAACCAACCGTCGATGGCTTTATGGATGCAATGCCTTTATTTTGTCATCCCTAGCTTTCTACACCAAACAATATTACACATCAAGGTAGGCGGTGGTTGTGCATATATGATACATGTCCAAACAACCTCAGTCAATGAAATACTACTACCTCATTAACCGGTAAGTCATTTTTACCTAGTACTCTACGTCAAACCTCAGCATCGTCAACTCGATGGTCCAAACATATATCATCAATACATTTATATGTGATGTCTATTTATTGGGTCAATAAAGTTCAAATGCATGATTTATTTTCCATAGTGGCTTGTTGCAAAAGAAGTTGGCACAAAGTATATGAAAAGCAGTCATCACAGTTAGTGAGTATATTCAATAATAATAGAAAAACTAATTCTTGAACTACTGAACAAAATAAACGAAAATGTACTCACCTCAGTTACAATGGGAGTGTGTTTTTTCAAAGAAGGGTCGATACGATCCATGAAAACATATTTATTGAAAAAATAAGCAAGACAAGCAGTCAGCCAAACTGTAATGACTTCTCCAATTAATCTAGGTGTCAAACCACTAGAAAGAAATATCATTCAGATAAAACACACCTGAAGAAACTTAAAAAACCCTCATTTCTCAGTATAGTAGGAAAAGCATACAACATATAACTGGAGGGAGACAAATATAAACTAAATTAATGTATTTGGGATTCATACTCATATAATCGTGTTCCGTTAATAAATTGCGACATTTGGCGAATCATTATGACTGTTTTTTATGATGAAAACAAATCTAATATTTGAATACCTTGGAATGGATAACTAACGACTACACCCACTACTCGAGCAACAGTACATTTACCGGTCTGAAAGGGTAAGTTAAATGACAATTACACCAATCAAAATTACACTGATCAGAAAAATTCTGATTCCTTTATCAGTTTCAAAAAATGTTTTCTTCTCATAAAAGTCCGGAGTTAAATACTTTTGCGAATAATAATTGTATATTAATCATTTTGTACCTCCATAGTGATGTTGGTAGAGTAGGATTTAACAAGTGACCCAATAATATTAGCAGGGAGACCAATGGTGAAAATTCCGTACAACCCAACCTCTTGGCGAAGTTTACGACCTTTAATTATAATGAGATAATTGTTGGAGAAACTTGCAGTAAGTGAAAACACTTGGGTAGTAATATGCTTGATAGTTCGAATGTAGGATGTTACGCAAAGTAAATCGACGAACAGGAGGGAACGGTTCATACCCCAACTTAAAAGTTAGATTTGAAAGAATATGACTTACCAACATCATTGTCCTGGCGTAGGTTAGTGGATGAGTTATGGCTGGTATGAATGACGGTATCAAACATTTATAGGTGGTTTCTAAATGATCCATAGTAATTAAGCTATTAAAGGAAAATGAATTAATAGATGCAATGAGATGAACCAAGAATACAATACAGAAGTTAGTCGTAGTGACTGAACCTTGCAGATAATATTAATGTTAGATTTCGAATGAAATGTCACTAAGTAATTTCTAATTATTTCTAGAGACAATATAATGACTGAAATCACAAAAAACGGTATACATACACTGTAGGTCTATTTGTTTACTTATGGATTTCTTATTGTTACGTGATACAAAGTCATCAAATTTATAACCGTCTTTTTACACAATTTACATGACACGGACTCTTTCGATCGGATGAGAAGACTTTATAGTTTAAATCCTTGGACAAGGGGTGTACATAATGTGTGTATCCAAATAATCAATAAGCAACACAACCCTGTAAGATTCAAACTTCCAGAAACTACAGTTATTTTTCGGCCAAAACAACTCTGTTCAAAAGAAATAAGTAGGTAATCTACAACTACCATGATAACTAATGATGGATAATATCAATGACTGGATTTCCATTCTTTCTTAGAACGCAATTTTGATACCAATCCAATCATTTCAAGCCCATTTTTCTTGACCTGAACCCCCATATTATCTATAAGTTTCGAATAATGTATCGTTTATACACATATTATAAGACAACCAAAAGTTGTTCGTAAAAAGTTTCGGAACTTTAATGAAAGATCTCCACCACAATTTTATTGTTGAAATGAATTTTACTGTTGAATGACAACGAAATCGTTAAACACTTCAGGTATGTAAATATTTTGAACCAATTATACTTTATGGTTTGGAAAGGTAGTGAGGAACAATTAATCATACTGATTTTGTTTAGTTTACTACAAGATAATGCAAATTGGTAGCTTCGCGGAAGCAATTAACTCTTAATTAACATGTTAAAATCTCTGTTCGCTTCAGTGTTGTTGGCCGAGTAGCATCACGAGCCCAGATTGGATGCGTACAAGATGAATTACGTCCAAGAAGTTGCAAAGACGTTAAGTTACCAGTTTAAAAGTGTATCTTTAAATAATGATAATAATACAGTCTTTTGATAGGACACAGAAAACCACACATATGCAAGGCGGAATAACTAGTGAGACAGTATTTAACAAGATGTATTGATAATATGAAATTCAGTTTAAGTTCCAAGATAATCTGTAAAAATGAGATGAGTTTTGATCTCGTTTAGTTCAGCTGTGTCTAATTTACAGGTTCTGATTATTTGAGAGGACCAAACTTTCGACGAACCATACTACAATCATGATTATCCCAGTGAATTTGATTTTTAGGAGCCGATACGTCCAAGTACCAGCCCGGATGACTTCAGTTCCTGCCTTGTAGTTAACATCCATGTTGAAAACCAAGAGGTCTAGGTTAAATGCACAATAGGCTGTTAGTTTTACGAAACTTTATGATACAGAAGAGTACCTACTGTCCAGCATCATAAGCGACAACCAAGCTAGATTGCGTATGAAACGCAATGAAACTAGTTCCTGAGGACATCAGCTATGACCATAAATTGGTGAGGTACTGTTAACATTTTGTGGATAAATTTCAAGATTAATCAGGGTCTCAAATTTTTGAATGAGGGAATCTTGCGTAGACTACGTGGAAAGACATGATCTTTTGTCAAAGGAACAACATGGTTTTCGAAAAGGTCTATCATGTTTGACAAATCTTCTTATTGCAAGAGAAGATTGGGCTGAGGCAAAAGACCGCAATATTCCTGTAGATGTCATTTTCATAGATCTAAGTAAAGCCTTTGATAAGGTTTCCCATTCTGGTCTTAAATTAAAACTAGAAAGTTTTGGAATTCATTATGCAGTCATAGACTGGATAAGTGACTTTCTTCATGAAAGGAGACAAAGGGTAAGAGTAAATGGGACTCTCTCATCGTGGGAACCAGTAAAAAGTGGCGTCCCCCAAGGCACGATTTTAGGTCCTCTTCTCTTTTTACTTTATATAAATGAATTACCAGCTATAGCTAAGTCGTCCGTCCTACTATTCGCCGATGACATTAAGATTTGGAGACCCATATATAGTATGTCAGACAGAATAGTTTTACAGGAAGATCTTAACTCATTAGTGGCATGGATGAATGGGTGGTCACTAGAAGTAAACACTAATAAAAGTGTTGTGATGCAATTAAATAACTATGATGATTCGTATCACTACACAATATGTGGACTAGTGTTGCCCAAAGTAAGAAACTATAAAGATTTAGGAGTCATACTAAGTAATGATCTCAAAACAACCAGTCACTGTAAGGCTGCTGCTGCAAAAGGCTATAGGGTATTATGGTCTATTCGTAGATCTTTCCGGTATCTGGATGGGGAAATGTTTAGATTATTATACCCAACTTTCGTACGGCAACATTTGGAATATGGGATTCAAGCAGCGAGTCCTTGTTTCAAATATGAGGCGGATATGTTGGAACGAGTCCAACACCGCGGGACAAAAATGGTAAAAGGTCTATCTAGCCTATCTTATGAAGACAGACTGAGACACCTCAACTTATTTCCGTTATCTTACCGGCGAATACAGGGTGATCTAATATTGGTATATCGTATCCTGAACGATGACCTTGGTACTAACATGTCCTATCTTTTCCTCCCGTCTAGGGCTGATCATTTGAGAGGACATTCAAAGAAAGTCCAAAAACCGAGATCAAATCGTCTACGTCTGGAGTTTCGTTTCTCGCACCGAGTAGTGAATTACTGGAATTCTCTACCAGAACACGTAATATCAGCACCTTCTGTTGATATATTCAAGACGAGATTGGACCTTCACAGTGTAACAAACTGCAAGGATTAAAATAGGTCACTAGACCTCCTATCCTTATTACTGAAGACTGAATTCTTGACTGTTCCAAGGAAAGACCTAGACAAACTTGAGAATTTTATGCGCGTGAAACTACGACAGAATTGTGTGTTCCAAACACCCAAAACCCACTAACATAATAACATGAATTCAAGTTGGAATATCAAGATCTGAAATAACAGTAGTACCAACAGAAATGAGGGGTACTAAACGTCTAACATTCCAAACGTTTTCCTATTATTATTCAAGTAGAACTGGAAGAAGATAGGAAGGTTTAATAAAACTCAACTTCAAGGAATTATAAAGTGAAGCCATCTACATCTAGAGATTTAGAATGATTTCTTATGGTGAGTATATACCCTTTCATTATATAATGCAATGGTTAAAGGCCATGCAATCAACATTTAGGGAAATGTAACAGTGCAGATCATTTCTATTTCCTAATCTCATGATTTTCGGGTTTTTCTCAATTTCCAAAGACAATTGGCAGTTTTCCCCTACATTTACCCAAAATCGGGAGATTGGGTACCTAAATAAGTTTATAAATCTGCAGTGACTGAAAACTGCAGTAAGTACTACCTGATGTGCGTTCAGACTATTGAATAGCCATTACACATAAACCTTAAGGATATTTCTTAGAAGTAACAAATTAAATAGCTTGAAAACAAACCAAAAACTTTTAAACAGGTCTCTGACCTTGGTGAGGACGTACCAAAAATTGCGGTTCAAATGGTTCAAATGGTTGAGGACGGAATAGAAGAAGCTTTCGCTTAACGGGCTTCCGTGTCTGGTAGCAGTGGATCACCAATACCTCCAGGCAAGAACCTAAGTATATTAACGATAATAGAGGGAAAAAAAGAATTTGGTATGTTATCCTTAGTCCTTAAGAATAAGTCAAGTTTTCTCCTAAAGGACTCCTGGGAGGTCGCTTGGACTAGCTCAGTCGACAGCGAATTCCAGCACTTGACAACTCTTAAGCAGTAGAAGTTGTCTGCAGTCTGTTCTGCTATGTAGGGTCTCCAATTTCTGGGTGTTACCTCTGAGGTTAGTGTTATGACTAAGCTTAAGAATTTGTTTAAGGGGATGACCAGAAGTATTAAGGATACTGTAAGTCATAAGAAGATCACCTCTAAGACGCCTGTACTCTGACGGGTAAAGGTTAAGTGATCGGAGGCGCTCTTCATAAGGTTTGAATTTCAGTCTCAGAACTGATTTCGTGGCTCGACGTTGTATACGTTCCAGAGTGACCTTATCCTTTTGGTGGGAGGGAGGGAGGGAGGAAATACTATGTTTCCGTACTCTAAGTGGGGACGAATAAAACTGTTGAAGATTATGTGGAAGGTTCTACCGTCAAACTGGCCAAAAATGCGCTTCAATGTTACCAGTGCAAGGTTTGCTTGAGAGGCGTTTTTGTCACAGTTCGCATACGATTTCAAGTCGTAGGGTACCAACACTCCTAAATCTTTTTCAACTTGGGAAACTTCTAGAGGTGAGTTACCTAAATTATAACTATAGTCTGCAACATGTCTCAGATGGACTACCTTGCACTTTGAAGTGTTGAAGGTAAGTCCGTTGTCGTCTGCCCAACTTTGAAGTCGAGTCAGATCCTCCTGCAGAACTAGTATATCATTGTGATTACGTATCTCTCTCCAAAGTTTCACATCATCAGCAAAAAGCAATAAATCAGATGAGACTTGTTGAGGAAGGTCGTCAATATAAATCAAGAAGAGAAGAGGTCCTAGTATTGAACACTGGGGGACCCCACTAGGACATTCCATAGCCTGAGAGAGAGTGAAGTTAACACTGATCTTAAAGTGTCGGTTTTCTAGGTATGAAGTGATCCAGTCAATTAAAGGGAGTTTTATACCCAATCGTCCAAACTTCTTGATAAGACATGCATGGTTGACCCTATCAAAAGCTTTTGAGAAGTCAAGGTAAATGACGTCAACCTTCTCCTTGCGATCAAGGATGGTTGTCCATCTATCCACCGCAGTCAGCAGGTTGGTCATACAAGAATGACCCTTTCTGAAACCATGCTGTTGAGGCGAGAAGAACTTTGAGGATGATAAGTGTTCTAGTATGCCGTCGAATACTAGGGATTCCATAATTTTTGAAGGTATGGAGAGAAGGGCCACTGGTCGGTAGCTTGAGGGTTCACTGCGTCGACCTCCTTTGAAAATTGGTGTGATGTGGGCCAGCTTCCATATTTCCGGTAGTTTGCCTCTGCTTAGCGAGTGTGAAAACATCACGCTAAGTGGTGTCGCCAGGATTGAAGCTGCTTCCCCCAATACAGCGGAATGAACCATGTCCGGACCAGGAGAAGTATCTTTTTTTAGGTTCTGCAGTTTACGGAGCACCAAGTCAGCACTCAGGTCACTTCGGAAAGTCCTGTACAGGTGCAGGTGAAGCTTTCGTCAGTATGGTTGATGTGGGTCAGCTGGAATGTCCGGGAGTAATGTTCAGCCAAAAGGTTAGCGGCATCACTGTCGTTGTTGGTCGGGCCATTAGGACCAAGCAGTTGGGAAACTCCAGTTTTACCTTGTCGAAGAGAAGCTGCATAACTGAACAAGCTTTTCGGATTGGAGACGAATCTGTCGATAAGCTTGGTCTGGAACTGAAGCCTGTCTTCTCTTATTGCCTTTGTGCATGTGTTCCTTATATGTTTGTATTGCCTGTACGCGCCGTTGTTATCAGTTCGTTTATATTCAGCCCAACAGTGCCTTTTGCGGCTTAGCAAACGACGAGTGCGGTTCTTGATGATTGCAGGTTGCTTGTAGCTTTTTGGGACCATTTTAGGAACTGAATGCTCAGTAGCACATAAGATCGTGTGCAGTAAAAAATCTCAATGAGCATCCACTTCAATTTCAGGGCGAACATTCCAATCCACCTGTTGAAGATAGTCCTGTAAAGCTAACACATTCAACCGTTTGAAGTTCCAGCGCTTGTTGCTAGTAGGATATCGTAGCTCCGTCTTGCTGACAAAGCTGAATGATAAGACGGCGTGATCACTTTTGCCCAGGGGAGCCAGGATTGAGAGGTCGTCAACTAGGAATTCTTCGTTTGTGAATACCCAGTCTAAGCGTGACGGCGTCTGACTGTTTCTCCAACGTGTTGCCGACTTCACATTTTCAAATAATCCCAGGTCGCCGATAAGGTTGAAGAACAGAGCTTCAATAGAGTTGGCACCACCAATGTATGTATGTTCCACGAAGTTGATTCTAGGGAGATTGAAATCCCCTAGAATCAGGATATGAGAGAATCCGAGACGCGTAGAGCGAGTTAATCCTTCCAGCAGACGTTTGTCATATTCGATGTCAGCAGTGGGCTTCCTGTAAACGACCCCAACTAGGCACCTCGCGGTGGTAGATAATCTTACTGAGCACCATACTGACTCGTCAAGATTGTGAAACTCTTGGTTGTGAAGTTGGTGCGCATCCAGGCATGACCGTACGTATGGTGCTACCCCACCCCCCATTCCTGTTTTTCTGTCGTTGCGAAATAAAGACATCCCAGTTATTGCTAACTCTTGGTCCGTAAACTGAGACGTTATCCAAGTTTCGGATATTCCTATCAGATGGGCATCATTAGCGTTGCTAAGTTCACGTAGCTCATCCATTTTGTTCAAGTGGTTCAAATGGTTGAGGACGGAATAGAAGAAGCTTTCGCTTAACGGGCTTCCGTGTCTGGTAGCAGTGGATCACCAATACCTCCAGGCAAGAACCTAAGTATATTAACGATAATAGAGGGAAAAAAAGAATTTGGTATGTTATCCTTAGTCCTTAAGAATAAGTCAAGTTTTCTCCTAAAGGACTCCTGGGAGGTCGCTTGGACTAGCTCAGTCGACAGCGAATTCCAGCACTTGACAACTCTTAAGCAGTAGAAGTTGTCTGCAGTCTGTTCTGCTATGTAGGGTCTCCAATTTCTGGGTGTTACCTCTGAGGTTAGTGTT